AGTGGGATTTGCAGACATAGGTCTGCAGACATAGAGGTCTACCTGGGAGTTATTGTCAGAAATGAACACCACAAGTAGCCTTGTTGCTTGGTTACTGTGCCTGCAGTGAATCGTGGCTCTGGTGGCCCTGGGCTGCAGAGGAAGGGTGAGTTCAGCTAAGCAGGATTTGAGACTTTGCTCATACAGAATTTCATATTTCCTGTGTGGGAGAGCAAGTGTAAGGAAATAAAAGAGGGGAATTTAAGGATAATATCTCACAAGAAAACACTGAAAACGGATGTACAATATTTGTCAGATTCAAGTATGAAAAAAAAAAATTATATCTTACAAATTACTATGAGAAGTTCTTCCACATGTTGGGTCCTGGGAGATATGTCCCAGGACCCCAGCTGTGAGTCCATGTCAGCAAAATGTGGATGGTGGATTGTTCAGACCTGGTTACTGTAGTGATATGTTGTCATGATTTGTGCTCAAGTTCCTCTTTTTTTCTGAAAAGTGTCTATTTTATGAGTTATTGCTGTTTTAAATACAGTGCTTTAAGTCATATTTTGCCATATTTGACAGCTGCCATTCTTAGTTCTGTCTCTATCAGGAACACTGAGTAGAGTGGAAAGGTAGAGATTCAGCTTTTTTTTTCTCTCTGTTATTGTCTGTTATTGAACTGAGAAAATGAGTTTTTGGCGGTTAAATATTCCAACTGACCTGTGGGACTTAAAGGATATTTGCGGTTTTTCTTTGAGTCGAATTGTGTCAATTATTGGCTGTATACTCTGACAGCAGTCTAAATATAGCTAACATAATAATGTTATGTGGAGGGTGCAGATACTATCCTGTTGGCTCTGCTGTTATGAATTATCATGAATTATCTTTCTAAAAAACCTTCTTTGATTATATTATTCTGAAGTTGCTGTGCTTGGACTTCAATTAAAAAACCATGACCGTCATAGGTTGAGGTGGTGAAACCTAATTCATGATAGACCATAACAGAAAGCAAACAGCAAACATTAGCAGCTAAGCTTTTCATTTTAATATGTACTGTATCTGTCACACTTAAAACCATAATCCATATAGTGGTTTCAATTTCCTCATATGGTAAAGATGAACTATCCATGTGGGAAACACAGGTTACTACAGAAAAGTGTAAGAGCCACATTATACATTGTGTTTTTTTTTTTGTTCATTTTTCATAGTTGTAATACAGTTGTTCAAAAATCAAGTCTTAAAAGATTAGACTGACCCTGATTGGTAAGGATGTCTCATTTGAGAAGACTTAAGTCACTGTAAAGTCTTAATAAAATGGTAATTAAGTCCTTATGTCATGAGAATGAAGTGAGTCACTGTTATAAATTTTCAAAGCTGTGCTGATAATGGATATTAAGGCAGAATAAACTGTAATTATTCCTATATATCTATATTAAAATTCATACCAGTGGGCTTCTTAGCATTAACAATCACCTTTAAACCTACTGCTGGCCTCTCCAAACAGAATTTCAATCTTCATCTAAAATGAGGCAAACAAATAATAACTGGCTGTCAATTTGGCTGTCAATTTCTATGAGTCGGTCTGATGATATAACAAGACATCTGACAACCTTTAAATTGCTGAAAACTTCTTGAAAACATTTTTTAATCACCTGTATAGAAAGACCTTTCTATTTCGTGCGAGCTTACACATATTATGCCAAAAATGGACAGTCTGGCAGCTGACTTAGTTATAAAATACAATATTCATCCAAATTTCATTTTCTTATCTAAATTTAGTATTTTAAGATTTTGACTTCAACATGGCAATAAGTTGTACTTACCTCATCTTTTCAAATGCTGACTGTGTGTTAAAGGGGCTGAGAGTTTTTTGGTGTAGAGGGATTTCCATAGGACATTTGGAGGGTACGCTGTTTGAGCATAGGCTTTATATACTTTATACAGTCTATGGTTTAAGACAGCTAATACTTCTATATACACTCACCGGCCACTTTATTAGGTACACCATGCTAGTAACGGGTTGGACCCCCTTTTGCCTTCAGAACTGCCTCAATTCTTCGTGGCATAGATTCAACAAGGTGCTGGAAGCATTCCTCAGAGAGCTTGGTCCATATTGACATGATGGCATCACACAGTTGCCGCAGATTTGTCGGCTGCACATCCATGATGCGAATCTCCCGTTCCACCACATCCCAAAGATGCTCTATTGGATTGAGATCTGGTGACTGTGGAGGCCATTTGAGTACAGTGAACTCATTGTCATGTTCAAGAAACCAGTCTGAGATGATTCCAGCTTTATATACAAGGCAGGATGGATCCATGCTTTCATGTTGTTGACGCCAAATTCTGACCCTACCATCCGAATGTCGCAGCAGAAATCGAGACTCATCAGACCAGGCAACGTTTTTCCAATCTTCTATTGTCCAATTTCGATGAGCTTGTGCAAATTGTAGCCTCAGTTTCCTGTTCTTAGCTGAAAGGAGTGGCACCCGGCGTGGTCTTCTGCTGCTGTAGCCCATCTGCCTCAAAGTTCGACATACTGTGTGTTCAGAGATGCTCTTCTGCCTACCTTGGTTGTAATGGGTGGTTATTTGAGTCACTCTTGCCTTTCTATCAGCTCGAACCAGTCTGGCCATTCTCCTCTGACCTCTGGCATCAACAAGGCATTTCCGCCCACAGAACTGCCGCTCACTGGATATTTTTTCTTTTTCGGACCATTCTCTGTAAACCCTAGAGATGGTTGTGCGTGAAAATCCCAGTAGATCAGCAGTTTCTGAAATACTCAGACCAGCCCTTCTGGCACCAACAACCATGCCACGTTCAAAGTCACTCAAATCACCTTTCTTCCCCATACTGATGCTCGGTTTGAACTGCAGGAGATTGTCTTGACCATGTCTACATGCCTAAATGCACTAAGTTGCCGCCATGTGATTGGCTGATTAGAAATTAAGTGTTAACGAGCAGTTGGACAGGTGTACCTAATAAAGTGGCCGGTGAGTGTATATCAAAAATGTAGCTTGTATAAATATGTAAACATTTTAATGATAAAGCCTCACTCTGGCTACAGAATATTTTAGCTGGCTATTTTAAGCATCAATCATGACTTTTAAAAGTAAGCCTTTTGCACAGAAGCATTAAAATAACATGCATTTTTACATTTTATTTATTCCATGATAACGAGTTGATTACAGTTGCTGAGATCTCAGCTTCTTGCTCTAGGATAACAAAGCTGGTATCCTGTTGTAAAGGGTTGATTTATCTCATTGTCTTGAGATTCAAAGGCTTTTTTCCTCATAATAATGAGATGATGTGAAAATGAGACAAGCTGGTCACTGTGATGAGTTGGAGGATGAAATAACACGCTGCCATTGCTCACACTAATGAGGTCAGTTATGCCTTTGTCTGTTTGCTTCTGCAACATGGGGATACAAGATATAAATGGGTGAGCTTACATTTGAGATAACTCAGCTGAACTGTGCACATAGAAACTGCCTTACTTTATTCCTGGCACACGAATGTGCTATTTTAGGACTGTACAGTGTGATAGATGGATACTGTGGCTGTACTCTCATGTTAAAAAAAATAATAAAAATAGATAAAACAAATAAAAGGAATATCACATAAAGTTAAGCTCTTATCAAATAGCTGAAGGAAAGTTGCCAATAATTTGTAGTCAGATCAATACTGGTCGACTCTGGAGATTTCAGTGTCTGAAAATGGAAATGAAAGCTGCTGTTCTAGCAGGGATATGAAATAACTTATCGGTTCATAATAGCTTCAGCCTTGTGTTGGACAGGTGGTGTATTGCAATCAATTTAAAGTTGTGTTTAACCTTGTGCTGTCTTTTACCCCAGTGGCATGTTCATTCTTATTATATGAAAAAAATGGCTTTAATATGATTTTGACAGTGTTTCATGGCTCTTTAAGGGATGTTAACAGCAAGTTGTCCATAAAAGCGATCACTCACTGAATATCTCTCAACCTTAGGTGTCATACAAAATGATCATGTGACTCATAGACTATAGCCCTGTTACTACACACAGAGGCCTAAAACTGCTAAGCTGGTGAAAATGCTGCCTTAGTTGTTATGAGAACCAGAAAAGAAAAACAAAACAAACAAACGGTAAAAAACCCCACAAAGATCTTCATGGAGAGGTGGTATTATATCTTTAAGAGCTCTTTGTGCTCTTGTACCTCATTTGAGCATTGAGCTCTGTGACTGCAGGTCTGCTTGTGTTACTCAAAAGATTTTATGAGAAGAGCAGGAGGTTGAGCTTTTTGTTTCTCAGTCCAATAGTCTAATAGCTTGAGTCTTGGTGTCAGAAACCTCCTAAAATGTGTTTTTTTATCAAATAAGTTATGCTGTTTTCAGCCTGGACTGTCAGACGATTTATACTATATTATGTTTTAATTGTTATGGGGGTTGCAGCTAATATGTGGTGAATCTACTCCTTATTAGATGTGTCTACACTTTTTTTTTATCCATTCTGCCTTTCTACTTTGTCTTTGTTAAACTTTCCAGCAGGCAGATGACCCTCCACCCATGAATCTGCTATAGCTCAATGTTTCCTCCAGTCAAAAGCATGTTTGTTTGATTGTTTTTCCATTTTTAAGTGCTTGCTCATGACTGATTAATAACTGGTCTCTACAAGTAAAAACACAAAGATTGCAGCCCAGCTCATAGTCATAGATTTTCTTTTTCTTTTCTTCACCTTCACGTTTCATTGTATCATTGTGTGTGTAGCAGCCCACCCTCTTCAGTACCAAAGCAGCTGTCCTATAATTCATGTATTGAGTGTAAATGTCCGCAGCTCCAAACACACAGAAAAAGCAAACTCAATCAAACAGACAACAAAATAGGATGTTTGAGTGTAATTGCAGTGTACAGTTAAGTTACACTTGGACTGTCAGGTTTTAAATTGCAGAGCAGAATAAAATGCAGATTGGCTTGCAAACAAACAGTATATACACATGAATTCAAATATGTAAACACATTTGGTGACATCAAGCTCAAGCTCTTGAACTCTTGAAATGCATATTCCTTTTTCTTAAACAATGCACAAGAATAATTGTAAAGCAGCTTCTCATTTCAGGCCTTATCTTTACTTCTCATACTCGACTAATGCTATCATAACACACGGTACATTTCAATACCATCTTAAGACTATTTAACAACTAACACAAAATGTATGGATGAGGAAATGTAAGGGAAGTTGAAATCTTTGGTAAAATCTAAGCTATGGGAGAGCTGAGGGGCTGAAAATGTCATCCCTTTACATTCACAAACGCCCTGCATGATACAAAACACACACACACAAAGAAAAACATGGACCTTGAATAAAGCAAGAGCAAAAGATTTACACTGTAACACAACAAAGTTACTGCTCATAGAGATGTAATTCACTAAAAAGCAGCACAATCACCTCTCCTTCTCCCCTTCATATATCAATCAGTGGTACCATGCTATCATGATGCATTCACACGCCTGATGTGCTTTGGTCTAAGTTACTACACACTCCTTCACACGATGGGATTGAAAAACAGAAATGAGATTTTTTTAAGTAAATTGTATTAAAGGCAATTTGCTCCCACTTAATGCTTCTGTGTAACTAAGAGATCCACAGGGAAGTTAAGGGGGCTTTAGTGCTGCTGGCGAACACCTCGTTGTTGGCTCTCTTTCTGCCGGTAGTGGAAGAGGCTGGTAGTATCAAGCTCACCGGCATAGCGAACTGCCTCTGCAAATAGCTTCACCACCTACCACACACACACACACACACACACACACACACACAGCGCACACACGCACGCACGCACGCACACACACAGAAAAAGGGTTAAACTGAAGTCCTGAAGTGAGAGGGACACTTTGTAACTGTGCTCAGTGACTAATGTTACTGACCTGGTAGTTGGTGATGAGGGGAACACCGTAGTCCACTGCCATTCGGCGGATAGCAAAGTTGTCCTTCAGATGGCGGGTGTTGTTATTGGGCAGGTTGACCACCAAGTCAATATGACCCTCACTGATCAGTCTGTGAAATTAAACAGTTATTGATAAGATTGTCAGAGCAGCACATAAATTTGACTTACAGCACCCAGGTGTTTTTGATATTATAAGGAAATCACTCTGTCACTGGTTAAATAAATGAATATCATAGCAGCTCCCCAACAGTAAAGCCAAAACAGCCTGCATTGTCCCTGTTGACTTGCATCAGTATAGGTCACAGAGCCCACGTCCTTTGTGTTAGCAGATGGAAAATCACATAACACATGATTTCTGTCTCTGTTCTTGCAATTCTTAGTTTTTTCCAAATAATTTTTCTGTAAAGTTGAGATATAAGTAGGTATTGGATGGTTTAAAAAGAGGTACAAGATCCTGATTGGCTGTTCTATGAACACAGACAGCCCCTGGGGTCCTGTTTAAGTGATGGAGAAAATGCAAATGAAGAAATAACTCATGGTGAGTCAGTGGACTCAGAACCTGAATACTTGTGAATGCCAGCCTTAAACTCACTCCAGGAGTTGTTACAGCATCTTTCCTGTTTAATCAATAAGTTTAAGGCTTTAAGGTAAGTGGAAGGGACATGGTGTACACAACAGTTAGAGCTCTACTGCACAGACTGACTCCAAACCAAAAAACACCCTCGTGCAAGATGTCTGGACCTGTCACCGGGGGAGATTTTGGATCCACATCAGGACACTGGGGGTGGTGGGGATGTGCCATCAATCTTTATATCCTGTCAAAAGTTTGTACTATTGTTTCCATCAAGAGTCAGCGCTTAACTTCATGCCAGTTTTCATGCACTGATTTGGTTCTGCAGCCCCAACATTATCATAATAGTGCTACAATTTGAGAAAATACTTTAGATGTGCTGCTATTTTACTACAAAGAGTTTGATTTTTTACATTTAAATGGCAAAGAAGAAGTGCACAAAGCAGTTGATGACAAATGACTATATGGAAGAGTTAAGTGACTGCTGGATGTGCATGAACTGTGTTAGAGGAGCAAACCAGAACATGTCAATCCAATGCTCAGGAAGCACATTACTGACTGTTTTGACCCAAGAAATCACAGGGTTCACTCTCTTATGTGTCTAATTTAGATTTGTTGACCTCTTCAATATGTCTCTTGTTGTGAGTCTTGCACACACACAATAACACACAGCAAAGTCCTGTCCACTGTACTGCCTTTTTTCATCTGAAGGCCTTTGACAGACAGCAAAAAATAAGGGCTGAATTTTAATGGAAATGTGGAGGACGAACAACAGTGACAACAAAGGTCATGTTTATCTCTATAAAGTGTTGGCCTCTATGCCACCTTCCACAGCTGATGCCAGCCAGCCTTATGTGTATCTGTGTGTGTGTGTGTGTGTACTGAGGTTTTGGTCTAGGCCTATTAAATTCCCCTTACATCCTCTTCTTCAGCAGCTCATTTTCAAACATATGGTCCAGATGGCTTCATTGTGGCACGATCATGACTTGTTTGCAGAATCATTAGCTGACTATCACAGCCCGCTACGATTACTCTATGTTCCTATGATGTCAGAAAAAGGTTGTGCATTTGACAACTGAAGTCTTTGACTGAAGCAGTACGTAAAGGGATATTCTGGCGTAAAATTAATTTAGGGTCAAACACACTGTAACACCAAGTTAGAAACCCCCTCAAGAGATGAATTTTGCTGACCGCTTGCTTCACCAGTTGTACCAACTTAAGTCACGACCGCATGATAGCACTACATAGCAGTCTATGGAACCACACACAAACCTCAACCAAAACGCCACTCTATAGCCACAAATAATGCTCAGAACAGCACCTAACTTCATTAACAGTACATATATGGTCCCAGCTGTAGTACTGGCCATCAAGCATCTTTTTAGCTTTGCCTGATTTCTTTAGCAAAGAGAATAAACACAACTCACCTACTCTCTTTCAGCAGCCGCTTGTTTGTAGCGAGACCTCGGGCCAGTCCATTACAGACTACAGCGGGGTGACGCAACTCAAGGAGGAACATTTATGATAAATTACTTATGATCATTTCATCTCTCAACTACCATATTTGCAGTGCAAAATGATTTATATGGTGATTATTACTTCAAGGAAATGATAAAGTAATGATCATAAATGTTCTTCTTTGCTGTGTCACCCCACTGCAGTCAGTAATTGACTGGCCTGAGGTCTCGCTCCAAACAAGTGGCTGCTGAAAGAGAGTAGGTGAGTTGTGTTTAGTCTCTTTCCTTAGGAAACCAGGCAAAGTTAAAAAGATGTTTGGTGGCTAGTAATATGGCTGTGACCCTATATGTACTGTTTATGAAGTTAGGTGATGTTCTGAGCATTAATTGTGGCTAAAGAGTGGCGTTTTGGTTGAGATTTGTGTGTGGTTCCATAGACCCCTGTGTATTGCTATCCTGCGGTCGTTACTAAAGTTGGTATAACTAGAGAAGAAGCATTCATCTCTCGAGGGGGTGTCTAACTCGGTGTTATGGTGTGTTTGACCCTAAATTAATTTTACACCTGAATATCCCTTTAAGGCATGAAGCTTGGCTTTGTTTTTAACAGCAACTGCAAGAAGGGCAAACAACAAGCATGATGATTCCAGACATCTCAATGTCGTTCTGCTTTGTTTCGGACCACAAGAAAAGATGCTTCATCTTCTATCTTCATGGATTTATCAAACTTAGACTGGCATTCACCCACAGAAGACTGTCTTCATCCCACCAGTTCTGGCTAAGGCACTGGCTGTAACCTTTTAGTTTGCTGCATCCCTTTTGATCTTGTCAGCACATTAGAGAGATAATGAAGGAGCTCTGCCCTTGGATCTTCATGCAGTATCTGATTAGATATTATATTAGATATCCCAATTTGGAATCTCATGAATTACAATTTATGTCTAAGCTTAGCCTCAGGAAATTAAAAGCAAGTCTTCGACCTCAGAGTTTTGGCTCACGGTCTCACACTGACTGGCTTTGTTTCATGAATGAGTCGAAAGGATAAGACAAAGATCAAACCTCTTGATACTGGGCAAACTGATGTCTTCTCCTTTCTGAGAGGGCCAAGCCACTGGAGAGGCGGGGACATCATTGGCGCACAGCCAGGCGGATGTGGCTTCAGTAGCATAGAGCTGAATCAATCCAACATAGAGAGAGTGTCATAAGAGTTAGTAAGTGGACTGAGATGAGTCATTTTCAGTTATACTAATTGGTGCAAAAGCAGGAAAAAAAAAAAAAACAGAACAGAAAGCTCGATCAACAAGTGTTGAAAGTCTCAAAGGAAAACCTCTTGTTTTTAATGACATGTCTTTCCTGTAGTGTTTGAAAGTACAAACTTTCATCCTCACCTTGAATCCCTCCTCCTTTAGCTGGTGGGCTGTAGCCAAGAAATTGGGTCGGAATGAGTGCTAGATTAGAGGGGAGGAGGGAAAACACAAGTTAGCATGCTGTTACATGTAAGTATCCATAGATGAAGTGACATTATGTATTCATAGTAGAGAAAAGGGAACCCACACAGTGATTTAAAGTGATTTAAAAAGTGAACAATAACCTAGGTGTGCAGAAATCCTCTTAACGACATTATGAACTTTTGATACTGTAATACCTTACAAAGTTGAGTCTCTTCACCGTCATATATTCAAAGAAAAGCTGTTATAAACTGTTTATTCAGGGAAAAGCCATGTTTACCCGCTGCCTCTAAAACTGAACATCAAAAACAAAAACATGTTCAGTGTCCTGTGATTCATCTCTAATTTCTTTTTTGTTTTTCAGGACCTTTATCTCTTGTCCTTTCTTCCAAATTAATAGTGAAACTGTACAACTATGACAGGCTCAGCCGGTGGGTTATGGACAACACCTGCGGGACAGTAGACAGAGACTTCAGATAATACATGAGACTCTTATTTTTTTGTGTTTAACTAAATTCAACAAAATCATGCGGTATGAGATTGTGTGACATGAAATGTAATGTAAGTAACTAATAAAAGCGCTGGCTGTCAACATATCTGATTAATCATGTCACCTAATAGTCCTAAGGTAGAGAAAAGGTAGTTTAGTTTTAGACTTAATGTTTTCTCTTCTGGGATTATTCTCCCACCTATTTTTTGGTCACAGTCTGCCAATACTGTAGGAGAGTCCCTCCACACCACACACGTCTGGTGCGATTGTTTGTTAGGACTTGGGCAGAATAATTTCGAAGCTAACCAGGAACTTCAAAGACTTGTGTCTTTAGCTGAGCTCTGGCTGTATTGTGTAGATCAGCACTGTTAGCCCCTGTTTTGGTCTTTTTCCTTTGACTGAATACACCGGTGTCTTTAAATACTGCTTTGGTCCCCCATGTGGAATATAAACGAATAGACAAATTCACCACATTTACCACAGAAAAAAAAAACGCATATAACACAACCTTTAGTCAACTTTTACATTTTGGTTTTCATTGTTTTGAAGGAAATAAATAAACTATCTACAAAGACATTGTTCTTTGTCAAACTTTTCCAGTAATGTCATGGGCTTCACACTGTGAACACAGTCCTATAAAACTGTGGGGTTTATGTCACATCAGTTCTCTTGTTAGGCACTTTTTCTTCAGGTGAGACACATAAAACATCTTTTTCAGTTCTATGTTGCTTTTGAATTCCTCTCCATGCTTCGTACCACTGTTTCAAAACTGTCAAAGTCTACTTAAAGTTTATGATTTGATGAAGAGTCCTAGTAAGGTTCAAGAGAATGTAGGATTTTTCTGGAGGAAGTGAAATTGTTCCTGTTTTACTGGACTTGTCCAAGGTAAATTAATGTTTTTCCCACAAGGGTCGCCAGTTAGTTCAGATCCTAACTGAAGAAACTCGCCTAGCACAGAAGCCAGGCAACACACCTCTGCAGACAAGGTTAGATCAAATTAGATTAGATTAGATACAAGGAAGGTTCCTCAAGGAAATTAAAAAGATCATTTAAATCAGGTAATTTGCCTAACTCTTAAAATACAATTTTACTATTTATTCTTTTTTTTCTCTATTTTCAGAGGATTAATTAAAAACCAGAGGAACAAAATGGAAATTTTCTTTAAATTCTCTGTTTTTGTTGCCAGGTTTACTCATACTGACATACTGACCACAATGTGGTGCTCATAGACTGTATATACTATGGACAACTTGGCACCGCCTTCTGTCACTACACAAATTTGAAGCCAAATTGCTCTCAGTATTTCAGGGATTTTCTTCACTTCCTGGAACCACCACTTGCACAGTAGCATTGTACGCATTTGGCGGGAGTCGCTGAGAGTCGCTCTGATGACACTTGGCTCAACCAGCGTATCAAGTGTCAATCATAGAAAACATGAACCCCCTAATAACTTTTAAAAATAGAACTGCACAGAAAAAAAGAGGACTTAAGGTCCTTTCACATCGGGACCATTTTTGTCGGGAAATTATTTTGGACATCAATATTTTTGATCGAACCCATATCCTGTCAATACAAGCGTTCACATCAGCCATGTTTTCCTGTCCTGCGATATTGCGGATCATGGTCGATTTTTCTAAAGTTTCACATACTGTGTGTCCACTTCTGACCAATCGGATGCGTGTTGTTGCGATGTCAGATTGACCGGCATATCCAACATGGCCGACCGGCTGATTGTTTATGTGTCAGAGAACAGAGTTCTTTTTGATAAAAGACACAAACATTACAAAGTTAATGACCTTAAGGACAACTTGTGGAGAGTCATAGCGTCGGATCTCTCATATGACAATAGTTTGTGTGCTTTAACAGTTTGCTAGACGTCTTTGTTTTAACTTTAATCTATGCTAAGTAACTTTATTCGTAAGCTAACCTGTTCAGATACAACATACCATATGTATTTTCACTGTCTCAAACTCAATCGCGTTGCTGTCACAGCACCATTAGGTTGTTACCTTGTGTTTATGTAGTATAGTTTAATGTGCTTATTGGGTACTGGCCCTGACTCAGTACATGCCATCATGACAGACAGCCATCTCAACATTAGTGTCTAATCAGAACTGAAAAACACTCAGCCTGCTGTTGTGTCAGTCTTCTCGCTTCCACCCGGGATGCAGCTTTTTCCCCCGGAAAGTCACAAAATCGCACTGGGCTTGATGTATATAGTCAGGCATGTCAAAATTCTCCTCCAAATATTTCACAATTTCTCATTCTATATTTAAGTTGGCCCCGGTGTGTAAGGACCTTTAAGCACAAACCAGTCTTACAGTTACTACATGTCAACATCACAACCAGGGGGGGAGAAAATTTTATATTCTGTGTAATTTATTTCTAAAGTTTGTCCACAGCTCCATAGGGATTGCTGGAGGAGGCGGGATTTATGACCTATACGGCAGCCCGTCACCAGAGGGTGCTGTTCTTGCAGTTGCTACACCCAGCAGACAGCGTCAATTCTATATACCATCTATGGTTGCAGTATAATAAAGTTGCATATACTCTGCTTGACAAATCGGCTTCAATTGTTTCTGTTTTGTTTCTTTAAATTTTTTTTTTTTCAGTAATCAATAGGTGAGAGATGACAAAAAGGACACACTATAAGTTGATAGGCACAGTGAAGTGTTCAAAAAAGAAAATTATATTTTTGTTCTGCATGTTTTGAAGCCCTTTGAGTGCCTACTTGTACAGATACATTTAACGCAGTCTTCTTTTTACTGTTAGAAGTAAAATTAAGCATGTGTTACTGAAACAAGGATCTACAGAAAAATTTTAAAGCAAGAAAAGAACCGTGAGGCCGAGGTAAACCTCCACTTTTGGATTTGTATTCATAATGGGGCCCACATCTTGAGACTTTTAAACATTACCATATTTGTTCACAGGATGCAAGGGATGAATACAAAAAGCATTTAAGTTGTTAGACATCAGCCTCAAATGACCCACTTAATGGGCTTCACAAACAGTGAAAATTCTGAAAACTCCTTTGTGAGGTTTTGCCACTAATTTGCAGCTGACTGTGCTCAGACTGCGTGCCCTTCAGCCTAGTAAACAATATGCTTGCTAAAATTACTGCTGTCTGACTAAACCACTATGATATGGGTTGATATTCTCTGTGCATGCTGCATTCAACCGTAATGAGAGTTATAGTACATACAGGCTTTTTATTTAGTCTGCAATTTGGACATACAGCTACACAAAAATGAGCTGCCATTAAAAAAATGACAATGGCAAACAGTGAGATTGGGAGCAAGGATGGTGGAGAGAAAAGTGTGTAATTGCTAGTTTCAGGGTAGGGGGGGCACAGTTGGGTACAACTGACAATACTGGAGCTTCATGTTGTCACGCTTATATCATATAGTTTGATATAGTTCTTCATAAAACCTTCTGCCTTTTGGAAGAAACGAATGAAGGGGAATACGTGTATCTACAGTCTATAGCGTGCATTATTGCACCATTACAAAATTATCCCCTGAGGTTCTCTGGGTGTTTTCATCTTCGTAAATGCTTAAGACAAAAAAAAATAAAAATAAAAAAAAATCAACCTTTTTTCCAGAAGTATGGAATGAAAGTCCTGCTCTGGTTCCCATTGCACAGACTATGACAACCTCAGACTCTTAACCTGACAGAGAGTCCAGAAAAATTAACCCAGCTTTGACTGGCCCTTTAATCAGCTGGTGGTTGTTTAAGCAGTTAAAGACATGGTAGGAGTCCGGCTCAGAGATGCTTCAAAAGTTTTCATATCCGAGGCTGTGCACCACACATACACAGCAGCACGGGTGGTGATGCATCAGTTATTTAAGAATACAGCAGTACTGAAAACAACACACCCCTTAGCAGTCAAGTACAAAGCAGACTTAAACTGAATCCACTTTAAAAATATTTAATGTTCAAATTGATAAACTTGATTGTTTTTCTGTAAATATCAACTCATACTGAGTTTGATGTCTGTAACTCCTTCCTAAAAACCTGGTTCAGGGCCATGTTTCTCTCTCTCTCTTTGACAACACTCAGACAACACTTTGTGAACTGAGGACACTGACTGTTGAAGCTTTGGAGGTGAATTCTTTCACATTCTTATTTGATGGACCACTTCAGCAGATCTACAGTCCGGGGTCTCTGTTTTCAACTCAACATTTTCAATGGGAGACAGGTCTGGACTGCAGGCAAACCAGACTGGTACCTTGACTCTTTGACTCTGAAGCCACATTGTACCTCATACAGAATGGCCCTCATTTATCAAGCTTGCGTACGGCAGAAAACTTGCTTACACCTTGCGCACGACAATTTTGACGTGAGGATCGGCATTTATCAATCTGCACGTGAGCGTACGCTACAACCAAATCTCACGACAGGTCTGACATCATGTTTGAGTCAGTGTGGATCTGCGGTGCAGCAAATGTCTGTTTTAAAAATAATTGATATACAAACCTGAAACCTGTCATTAAGCACAATCAGCTAAATCTCATTAAAGATGAAAGCGCTGCGTTTTACTCCTAAAAGGCGGGTGTCTCTGTCTTGGCCTAGCAGCAGGGACGTTGTTGTACACTCCTGAAAGGGTGTGGGACATCATTTGGGCCAGTACAGTTTTGAACAATGTTGCACTGGTGAATGGAGTGCCATTGGCTGTGCTGGTGCAACGTGAGGACCCGATGCCCAGAGAACAATAACGAGGAGAGACTCCGCAAAAGGTGCTGTACAGAGGAGACAGGACCTTATCCATGGATTCTGACATGTAAAGTATAAGTTTAGAAAGTGCTCTTGCTATTTAATCAGTGATAAAAATCCAATAGAAATCCAATAAAAATGTGCCTCAGGGGCAGCAACACACCGTTTGGTGACGTTAATAATTATTTTGTTCAGCCTCTGTCAGACTCTCCAGTCTGCTCTACATTACAAAGACGCAACAAATTAAAATTAAATACTTTCAATAATAGGAGCAACACCCTATGTCATGGCAATAAAACATATGAGGCATGTATGAGATATTGATGTATCATCATGAGCAATTTATTGACTAATGATTTATTCAAACTTCAGCCACTGTCCGCTATTCTGCGGCAGCGCTGTTCACCGCCACCATAATCCTGCTCCAGACAGGAGTTTTCTGGACTGCTTTTATACCAGTTTTGATGCTTCCAAAGACCAAATCCTTGTTAGTTTACACCACAGATGTGAGGATATCCACTTTCAGCTTGAAAAAGTTTTGAATATTTCTAATATTTCTCCTCTTTCATGTTTGACCTCAGTGGGCGAGGCTTCTGAACCACGAATATTTAAGGCCGTAACTTATTAATGACGATCAATTTCAGCTGCCGCATTTATCAAGACCCGATCATTCGTACGCTGGGATTGGTCAGATACGAACCCTTTCATAATCTCACGTGTGTCCTATCGTAGGATGAATCCTGCACTCAGATCTGCGCTCAGATCTGTGTAAGCTTGGTAAATGAGGGCCAGTGTGTCTTGGCTTTGTCTTGCAGAAATAATCACGCATTTTCCTGAAAAAGACCTGTTCACGTGTGGAATGATCCTAAAAGGTGTTTTTGGAGCAGTCCTGAATTACCCCAGACTTTTAGTTGACCCTGAACCAGCTTTTGAGGAACCTATTACAGCATCAAATTCAAAATCAGTGAATATTTACGATAAAAACAATCAAGTTCATGAGTTTGAACATTGAAGATCTTGTATTTGTAGTGTATTCAATTGAATTTAGGTGGAAAAGGATTTGTAAATCATTGTTTTTTATTTATTCTCATTTTACACAGCGTCCCAGCTTCACTGGAATTACAGTTTGCACATAAAGGCTCCTTTAATCCTTCCACCACAATATTTCTCTAAACTGTTGGAGGTAAAACACATCTGTGTGGCTGTGTGTTCCTGATCCGTCAGCCTAAAGACTTGCTGCTCCTCAGCCACGTTACAGTACACATGTGACCCCAGGTACTTGCCTTGAAGTGGACCTGTTCCCCAAGAGTACCAATTATACAGCTGCTGTTGTGAGTGCTTTGTTTAAGCTGCATTAGTCAAGCTCGCAGTTTGGCAACCTGGGGTGGCAGCAAAGCTTAATTACAAAAATCATGTAATGTGGTGTCATTAAGCAGAGCGGTGCTTAGGCTTACATTTTCTTCTTTTCTATTTTGCTGCAAGTTCATGCTGCAATGAGGATTGAAGACTTCTTTTGACTGATGAAGGATTGAACACATTTTTATGTTTGTGAGGATTTTTTTTTTGTACTGCAGGATTAATAGTTGTTTGGATTGTTGTTGACTGAGCTTCAAATCAGTTCACTATTTATTCGGGTATAACAGCATCCCCTTTACTTCACTTTTACACTCATCTCAGGGCATTTCTACCCCTCTGGGCCATCCAAATACTATCACAAGAGAGCATGTTTTTTTTTTAAATCACAGGAGCATCATCAGACTCCCATGAATCAAGATGTGATTTGGTGTGAAACAAACTGAGGAGTGACAGGCTGGTATAGTAAGAAGCTGATAGCCTGGAAGATTTGAGCCACCTGTTCAGAAGGCACCTCGCACTCAGCCTCTTGTGGGCAGGAAGCAAAAGGCAACACAAAACAGGAGACAAGTGGACTTCCAGATGGCTGTAGTCTTACCTGAATCCCAATCAGTATGCCCTTCTGTGGGAGCTTGAAGCCTGTGGAGAGCATAGCCTTGAGGAAGGCTGAATAAATGTTTGGTCCAAAACAAGCTACCTGCAAGAACAAACAAACAGATACACAACTCTAGACACTGGCTCTGCAAATGAGATGGTGTGGAAAAATCAACACAAAAAGTGGGTTGGTGTGTTTCAGAGAGAGGCTTACTTCTCCGGTGGAGGCCATCTCACAGCGGAGCACAGGGTCTGCATCCCTCAGCCGGGGCCAGGAGAACATTGGAGCCTGTTGAAAAGAGGTAGGAGAGAGAGAGAGAGAGAGAGAGATTTAGTCCGACTTGTTTTGAAGCAAAGAGACATCACCATCAGTCTAAGCAGTTTACCAAAAAAGAGGCAGTTTCAATCCAAATGCCAGTTGATTGACCATGGAAAACAACACAGTTTAACAACAACACAAGACAAACTGAAACTTATAAACACTCCAAAAGAAAATGGCAATCAATGGAGAATAATTCCCCACAAAAATAACATCAGTGCTTTGGCATTCCAGGGATTTCATGACACTGCTGCCATCTAGAGGTGAAACAAAGGCCGTTTTTCCTTTCAAACAAGGGATCCAAGCTTGAGGAAGTTGCACTACAAGATTAAAAAAAGGGTTAAATAATGTCAGTTTAATGCGCAGAAAAAAGTGTTTTACCATTACCTCTGCTGAAGTCATTTTGTCTTATGGAAATCACATTTCTACCACACATGAAACTTTCGGGCGACATCGAGAGGAGGAAAGAGGGGGACGCAACAAAGAGAAAGTCAAAGAGATTAGAGATGCCAATGACAGACTGAAAAGAAACGGGGCCTCGAAAAACTGCAGGCATCTGTTTCTAGCTTTAAAGAACCTGAGGAAGGGGTGAAGGAGGTAGGTGGCCTGTCTGATAAGGCAACAGCAAGGCGAGTCAGAGGAGCAGAGGGAGCGTGAAGGAGAAGAGAGGCGGTGAAAGAAGATAAAGAAACAGAGAGGACAGAAAGGAGGGAAATTAAAGAGTAGGAGGAATTAATAAATGCAAGTTAGGGGGAACAGGAGGGCTCAAGAGAAGAAAAGACAGAATAACAGAAGGCGTAGTAAGAATCAATCAACACAAAAAAAAATAATAAATACAGAAATAAAGTAAACAATTAAAGCAAATGACAAAAGGCCAAAGAGGAAGAGATAGAAGTGGAAAGAAATGAAAGATAACATCATAAATTTGAAAGTGGGAGAAAATGAATGACAGGAAAGTGAAGGGAACAGACAGTAGCTCCTCATTATTGTATTAGAGACAAATTATGAATAGCAGGGCGCCATGTGGGAGGCCATTCTTATTCACCATTTAAAAGCAGACAACCACCATTACCTTGAAGAGAGAGAGAGAGAGGGAGAGAGAGAGAGAAATGGTGTGGCATTGTGTGGTTCATGTGTGCGCACACACGCACATGCAGAGGCAAGGGCCACTAGGGGGGGATTCATCCTTGAAGTGGGCTATCTAATCAGCTGAAAGTAATGTTTGCATACTAATGTAAGAAGGGACGCAGAGAGGGGAATGCAGACAGAGAGCCCGCATCGCTTATCATGGCTTTGTTCAAAGAGTCGGAGAAAGACGGAGGAGTGTGCAGAGATAAAACTGCAGAATGTAACCAAGAAAGAAAGTGAAAGAGTGTGAGAAGAACATATACAGGGAGGGAATAACAGGGAGAGGTGAAGTTTAAATATTGCAACAAGAGACAAGAAACTAGCATTAAAAAAGAAGGATTTGTGAAATACAGAGAATGAGAACCAGAGGGAAACCTCATTTTAGCCATCACACCTACTGGAAAACCACATTTCATCCAAAACCATTTAAAACTATGAGGCGAGAAGGTAAAATATAACCACAAACAAAAGCAATTAGAAGAAGTTAGAGCTATCAATAACACCTGAAAGGATTTCAATGACCTGAAAATGTGAAACTGTGAACAAGTCAGCCTGAACAGAGTCATAAACCCTCCCAGTCTAAACTTCAACGCTTCATCCTCCGATTGTTACGGTGCGTCTCTAGGACAGAGTGTATGTGACTGTCACGATAACCAAGGCAGTGTAACCACAACATCCCACCAAGGCACACAAGCACTTCTTCCCCATGTCCCTATCCCACTCCAACCGCCCACTCAGAGACAGTGGAGCTGTGAAACTCCACAACACAACATGAACAATGTTATCTTGGGGCACCAGCTGAGCTCCAGTGGAGAAAGAAATGAATAAGTGAGACATTTCCACATTACATTGTCGCTCAGAGACGTTCTTGTTGTAGGCAGAAGTGGCACCTGTGTAAATGTAATTTTTGTGCGCAGCTGAGGGGAAATTAGCTGCAGCATTTGCATGTAAACATTTTTTTTTTTCAATGCACACTCTTCCACTGATCTATCATGGATGAGAATGCATATAAATTTTGACATTTGACCAGAGGTATTCTGGAAACCCACCTGAAATTTGGGTATTGAGAAGTTAGTATTTGTGGTGTTGCAGGGCGAATTTCCATATGACTTTCTCCAGAATTTAATAAGCATTTACAATGTCAATCTTAAGAATATATTTACTTTTTTTATACAACCAAAAGACATAATGTAAATTTGAGGATGTAATTACCACAAACTGTATAAAATATGACCATTGATGTCACTTCCTTGTATCTAAGGATTTTCTTTGAAGCTCAATAAGAGCAGGTGTCTTTTCTTTAACCTAATATTTTGATTGGACAAGAAACGGACAAAGGTGGAAAACAGCTACAGCTGCATCCATCTGTACACCAGCTTAGTTGTGCTAACCAAATGCTATTAATTTACTGTTCTTCAGCCTCAATGATATCAAGGCGGATGTGTTATGAATTAATAAATGAATGAACTACAAGAAAACAGATGTAAACATGTTTATCTTAGCATGCTATCATTGAGGATTTCTTAGCTTATGCAGCCAGCCTCTAATGGGCACTCAAGAAACGGCAGGGTTTTTTTTGGTTTTTTTTACTTCCACACTGGATTCAAATTTAACACCATAGGTTGCCACATAGCACGTGCTAGACCAGATATTTGGCTCATGTTGGAGGCAGTTGCCAAAATGTAGAGAATTGGAGCTGGCTACTCTGAAGACCCACTCCAATCAAAATCATGTTTTTCTTGCTGTCTATATGTCCATATGGCATTTTTCTGATACTAGATGACATATCGTGAAAAAAGTAAGTGCTAAATTGCATTTCTGAGTATTTCTGCATTCAAATCACTGTGAATTTCTGGCAGACCCAAACTGCAGGATCAGATTCAGTGAGATTTCCTACGTATGCAATCCAAGCTCCACCCCTGAAGCCCCGCAATGCAGGCCTGGCTCTGAGAAATACAGAGGACGATCGAGGAACAAGGGTCTATGTTAGCGGATTGGATAAGTAGGATTTTCTTGGTTTATAATATGTGAAATCAAAGGCAAAGTTGGCAAAGACAAATGAAACCTCAATATGAGCAATAACTTACTGAAAATCATTCAAAGTTTATCTTTATTCTAGGATTTCTCTAAACTTTTAAGGATGTCAAGAAATGATTGAAAGCCTTTGTTAACGCAATGACGCACTACAGGTTGAATTAAGTTATTTATCAAATGATTTTGATTAACCTTGTTTAGAAGAAAGATGTTACAAGAGGCCAGGTCCAGCATCTTTTATTTCATATTGTAGTTTAGTCATTGGGTACAAGAGGGAACGGTACCTGCAAAGTCACTGTGATGTGTTTCCAGCTATGGGCAGGGGGGACAAAACATTCAACTGATGGGAATTTTTCTTCAGCCCTTAACTGTGCACTGGGGACTGACAGCAAACAACCAAATCCACTTCCTCCCCCTTAAATGTTGTTTTCTTGCTCTTCCTTCTTTCAGTGTCATAAATATAACTGCGTTATTGTTCCTGTGAGTTTGTATAAAAAGACAGAAATTACACAAAGGGGACTTGTTAGAGAAAAGAAAACATGGCCTCGAACGAGGGGACTGTCAGACGAAGAAAAGAGGCGGAGGGCAACAGAGTGTTTTTGGAGAGGAACGAGACAGATAAATGGAGATGGTCTCTCTAGATGGCACTGAGTTGTGCCTGATGATGATACGTCAAGAACAATAAGACTGAAGACTGTAAATGGTGCATTTGATATCATCCACTTCCAGCTCAGGCTGCAGAATGGTTTTGGACAACCAGCATGTTTGTAGAAGGGGTTTGATGTCTCAGTAACAAAACTGTGTCAAGTAGGAAGAAAGAAAATGAAGACAATTGTTGTGTACTGTGGCTGGATTTCTGTCAAGGCCCGCATTCGTTAAAGAGTATGATGTCTGTATCATAGACTCCAAGTAAACTCTGAAAGTCTTTTAAGCCTGGTGCCGGGAGTATTCAGAGCTCTGATTAATATTCCTCTCCACTGCGCAGACTAGAAATTGAAAACTTTAGGTGGTGGGGAAGAGTGTGGGGATTATACCTGCGTGATTGGCTCCAAACTACAGCCATTGTTACAGCAGCTCTGTTGTAATTAGACGGAGAAATTACTTTGGAAAAATAGCTTTGGAACAGCTGGTGACACGGAAACTCTCTCCTAACCAATCTAAGAAGTAAGCCTCTCAGCCGGTATGAGAAAGCAACCACTCCCCCTCTCCTTAGGTAGGGGGATAGAACAGTAATTGCTGTCTTTATTATGCCATCCAATGGAAGCAGTAAAAAAAACTGCAGTACCTATTAACATATCATACATGTCGAGCTGCAAACATAGGAATTATTTTGCAGGATTAACCAACGCACAAAGCTGTAAGTAGTTCAGAGACATGGTAATCAGGACCTGATAAAATTCACTTACAAAGTAAAAACTACCAGCTGTATTAATCTCACAACTGTGTTTGAATCTCTGAATGCTGGTTGTCTTCTCTTCAGTTTGAGTCTTACATAGAAAGGACTGAGTTGAAACCATTTCTAAAACCCCATGTATATCATGTTTAATTAAGGAAACACTTTTTGATCAAAATTTTCTCTGAAAGGCCAGAGAGAAAATAATCTCAACTCACAAACAAAACCATTAACTAGAGTGCCATCCTGTTCAGAGGTAATTCTATGATTCAATACTTGTCCACAGAAGTAAAAAAAAAAAACAAGTAGAAGACTTTGCAAGGTTGGACCAATGAAGTTCGAGAAATGTTTCCATGTGGGGTTCACTATCTTCTGGGCAGGGAGTTTAGGGAAAAGATGCTTTGAGACTAAAGTTAAATGCCTTTAGAGTCAAAGTATTTCAACATGTATTAAAAAACTGATATCACATAATATAAGGTTTTATCCAGAGTTCAGAACATTAGTGTTCAGTGGAAGAAAAATGTTACCTGCTACTTCTACTATACCGGCAATGTTAGGCTACAAGCTTGTGTGAAGATGAGTGTGCAGAGCAGCACTATCCCCGCCCATGACTCAGAGGTGAATTGCTAATGATCTACTGGAGCTCTGCAGAAGAAAAGCCCTTCAAAATGACACAGATAATGTGATTTTGCCTAAAAGATCGCAGTGGTACTTTAACCCTCACATATTGTTCAAATCCTGTACCCTCACAGTATGTTCCGGGTCAAAATTGCCCCTTCAAAGAGTTCAAAGAGCAGCTTTCTGTCACAGAAAGTTCTCTTGACTAGTTATATTGAACACTGTTGTTACTGTTTGTCACTTGTCCCACACTAGTAGATCTAAAATCCATCTAAATATAGATACGGGTCAAATTTGACCTGTAACAGCCTTAGAGGGGAAAAATTTGTAGCACATAAACAAAAATACACATGAATAGTTTTAAATTAATTTCATGTATTTTGGGCAACTTCAGGAAAAGTCATCAAGTTTCAGGCTTAAAAAAATGATGTTTAGGGTATTTTTACTGCTGTTAAAAGTCAAAATGGGTCAAATTTGACCCTAACAGTATGTGAGGGTTAAGAAGCGTGGCTTAAGTCCAGCTCTTTTTAGTTTCCAAACTATTTCTATTTTTAGGCTTTGTACAAAAACTAAACCTTGAGGAGCTAGCAAACAACACAAAAGCCACCACAAAGAAGGTTCCCCTAAAGGAATTCATATCAGTTTAATGCTATGTTAAATTTCTAACATTTACACTGCCTTTACCTCCATCAACCAAGCATTGTCAAAATATCTAAATCAGACCCTTCAGTTTGGGTCAAGAGGAGCACCTTATGTGTGTTCTCAATGTTTTGACAACCTGTTTGCTTTTTGGTGACTGTTTTATAAGTTAGTCTGCTGGCTGAACACACGGGTCAATGCATCAGGTCATAAAGGTTACTCTTCTTTCACACCAGTCTTGGCATTGGGGGATGCATGACAGTATCAGATTTATAACAACTTTCATTCGACAGTATTGTTAGATGTCTGAGTCTGAGGAAGAAGCTTTGAATAAAAAATAGACATTGGTACAGGTGATACATTTTTAAGATGCTCTTTCTCTAACCAGCATCACAGTGTCCCAGTGAGCCATTATAGAGAAATCTAAGGTCTGAATAACCTCAGTTTTTCACTTATTTTCTTTTTGTGGCAGAACAAAACAAAACAAAAATGATCAAATAAAATGACCCTCTTGTGCTGAATAGCAAAAAAAAAAGATGGAGTAAAAAGAAAATTAAAGTTGATTTAGATTTCTAAAACCTTTTTGATATTTAAAAAAAATGCCAGATATCAAATTGTTTTCAGTGAAAAAGCCACAGTATTCAGATTATCTGAGGCGTTTTTGACTGTATTGTGAGACTTTGTATATCAGCCTCAGCATGAATGTGTTCAATTCCTGTATAGTTTCATATACAATTATTTTCCTACTCAATAAAACTGAACTGTAAATAAAATGAAAAAAAGGTTGCGGAGAGTCAGTCATGCAGTCCCAGCTTGAAACAGTTATTTCAGTTTATAGTCTCACCTTGATGCCAACAAAGTCTACAGGAATGATGGGTTTCTCCAGCGAGGGCAGGCTGGCCTCATCCATAGGCTCCCCCACCATCACTTTGGTCGCCACGTTGATAAAGTCCACCCCGATTGTTTTTGACACAAATGGGAAGGAGCGGGATGCCCGCAGGTTGCACTCGATCACCTAAAAAGGATGAACAACACCAACACTGCCATCACAGAAGAGCCAACACACCCCCGTTCATAAAGACTAATCACCAAAAACAGACAAGTTTATGACCAATGAACAAACACAGAGGGTTCACATTCCTGTCTGTTAACTGTGACAAAAACTACAAAACTGAGGGCAACATTGATCTCAAAATCCATTCAGCTTTGCCAGAACTCATGAGCACAAAGAGGTTTCATTTCGTGATTGAATTGCCTTCAATGCAGTCAGTCATAAAAATGTTGATCTATTATTTAGACAGAAGTTGAGAAGTATTACCTACCATGACATCATTGCCTTTAACCAGGAACTGAGTGTTAAAAGGCCCTGAAATTTCAAATGCTTGCGCAATTTTCCGGGTGGCAATCTTAACCTGCGAGCGAAAGAGAAAGAACACACACATACAATATGAATGAGCCTGTCTGGATGATTTCTGACAAAACCTCCTTTTTTGCTAAAATGGACAACAATGCGCTTCATTTGGTCTGATCTGCACGTGGTACATCGGCGGCTTGTTTCCAATGACATATAAAAAACACTGTGTTATTTATATACACTATAACTCCACATATTTATGCAATTAGAACTTGACTGACCTTTTCTAGCGCCCCCTGGCTAATAGTCTGTGTTGGCAGCATCAGGGTGGCATCTCCCGAGTGTACTCCTGCATCCTCCACATGCTCTGTGATGGCATGGACCAGAACCTGAAAAGACACACTGATTATTTGACACTTTTTTTTAGCATACACATCAAAGCTCTAGCAAGCAAAAATCCCAGCTCAAGGCAAGTCAGCTTTTACAGCCTTGGACTGTTCTCAGATAAAAATCCTCCACACTAAGAGGCAGATGGCCTCCAGACTGGATGTGTCCATATCTACAGTATGTCATTGTGCAAAATAGCACATAACACACGGTGATTGTCACACTTTGCATCTTTAGGGACGGACAAATTCAGTCAGGTAAACACTCACTGGAAATCTATTAATAACAAAAGGTGTGTAAAAGACTGTATCTGGATATGAAATGTCAAAAGAATAACTTTCAACATTTCCCCCTCAGGAAAGGAGATTTATATCACCATGCAAATCTGTGCAAGAGTGTATGTGTGTTTGTAAATGAGCTGCCGTGTCATTAGCTCATTTAAACTGCTGCTAACCACAGTATTCATTAGCTCTCTTCAGATAGAGCCTGTAATTAATACGTATTATCTCTGACTTTTCCACTCTCCCACACATATATCTCACACACACGCACACACACAGTCTGGCCAGGAATAATGAGGCCTGTTTGGTATTCAATGAATGGACAGCTTGTTAATGTGATACTGAAGATAATGGAGGGGCTGTATTCAGAAAAAGCAGACAGAGAAAATGTACCATACAACTGGGTTGCCCACGTTCAAACTGACACCCTTGAAATGACTCCTAAAGCCTAAACAAAAGGAAAACAGACAGGGCGACCAGGACAAGTACCGAGGAGGCTCCGTTACCTGCTGTGACTTAGAGAACTAACAATTCTGCACTTTTACAAGTTTTAGAAGTTAACCCTGGCTACGAAAAGTGACTATAAATGTAAAACCTTAAGATACCATCGGTCTGTGTGCTTCACTGCACCTCAAGAGTGACGATCCAAGCCAGGTTTACCATTGACTTGTTCTGTGCCTCCCCTTTCTATATCTTTATGTGTTATGTTGGGCAAAAAAAAAATCCTTTCTTTGGTCACAGACAATTTTAAAAACAACCTTCTGATGTCAAACTGTGCATCTACATCCCTCTGTGGGTGGTGAAGGTCGGGGAAGTGACAAAAAGAAAAACACATTCTGTATAAGGAAAAAACAACTTTAAAATAAGTACTTTTCTCTTATATTTAGCAACTGGCATTATTTCTCATTCCACTTCAGAAATTGTTAAAATGCAACTTAAGTGATGCTGAAAGTCAAAAAAGTTTAAATGTGTGACATTTTCTTAACAGTGTAACAAGTTCTGGTATAATCAAGCCTCATGTGTCGTGATTCAAGTTTAGGAAATGACAGTATGTCTGCGGTATATTATGGAAGGTAGCTACTCAGAGAGAAGACAACCTTCAGAAATGACAAATCTGTGGAATCAAACAAGGAAAGAGTTTTGTTAAAGAAGAATAATCTAAATGTGTTTTCAGCTTCTCCACAGAGGAAACAAAAAACTTCTGCATTTTCCTTTTTATGTATTCCATCCTCCAAATCAGATCCGTCAGAGCTCTAATATCTTATCATGGAAGATAAATGAGATTACTTTCATTTTATTCATCTACTGGGCTTTCACCTCTCCTTCTAAACTGAAAAACAATGAAGCATTCGCTTATGCTAAGCTAGATAGATGAACAATAATGATACCACTGAAAATGAAATATGGCCAAACAAGATGTTACTGTATTTCTAACAGGGACAAATAATGCCTTTACTGCTGTTTAACAGTGCGACATTGTGTTACATCCAGGGACAGAGGTTACACTACCAAATGGAAACAAACCCACTCACTTTTCCTGCAACACAGTGGTGATAAATACCCACACAGGGCATGTCAGTAATGGCTCACCTTGCCACTCTTGGCCACAGCGTCCACCTCCACCTCCCGGGCCCCACGGATGAACTTGGTGATGACCACAGGATGCTCCTGTGGGAGAGAAAGGATGTTTAATAAATTAGATTGACCCTGTGATTCCTCAGCCCCACTTTGAGGACAGATTATTAAGTGTGAGCTTCTTTTTCTTATCATAAACTTGATCATTTATATTAGAGATAAATGCAAGAACACAGATGTTAAATCTATTACAGTGGAAGTGAAATCATGTGTTGGTAAAAAAGTTGAACACTCTCTGATGTGGTGAATTCTGATGGCTCTCAATGTAAGTTTAAAAGGTATAGGTCTACATGATATTGATAAAGGACTGACATGTTTTCAGGTATGAGTGGACTTAAACAGACCATGCAGTTTAACCAACTCTTGCTGTGCGTGTGCATAAAATGGCTTAGAAAGGACATGATACAAGTGTTGCATCATTTATAAATTTCAAAAAATACTAAATATGATTAAAAAATTAGAGCAACAGACCATATACAAAAAAGTAAAGCACACCAAATATTAATTATATTAGTTTTATCAACATTCCATGGTTTATAGTAGTTTCATAACACACATTAGGTGCACCAAAATTAGGACTGTGTGTATCTTATTTGTTCATCAGGTCTTTCATCAAACTCAGTCGTCATAATTTCATTTTGAATCCATAGCTGATGAGAAAATGAAAACCTAAAAACAATTTTCCCAGGGGTCAAACACATAAAAGACTTCCTCGGTTTAAATGTGTGGGTCATCACACAAAGTCCTTTTAAATCAGCTTAAAGCTGTCAAACAAACATCCGCAGGCCTGAATGTGTTGGTATGTGTGCGTGTGTGTGTGTGTGTGTGTGTGTGTGTGTGTGTGTGTGTGTGTGTTCCTCCAGCCTCAGACAGGGGCCCTATGAGGGGCCAGGTGCCTCTGAGCCACCTGAGGGTTCAGTGAAAAAGAGATGCACACATCACACTAGCCATCAGCAACGCCAGCTGGTAGCATTAGTTAATTGAAAGCACAGGGACAGTGCTACACAAAGAAGAGAGGCTGTGTGAGTAATGGACTAAGAGAAATCACCTGATATTACATGCTTATTTGACATATTTTAGGGGGGTGGATAAAATATAAAGCCAAAGTCCAACATATGTGGCCAACATGTGTCTCTAACGTGAGCAGGCACACATTATTAACACTCATCTCACCTGGGACACCTGAGTGGCCTCCTCCAAGAAACGTTTCATCTCCTCCTCTCCATACGCAACATTCATGGCAGAGCCACTGGTGAGAAAGAGGCAGAACATGACAGATGAGAAGAAGAAAAAAGAGAGAAAGAAGAGAGAGAGTGAGGGAGAGAAAACAAAAGCCCACAGGAGAGAAAGAGAGGCAAGCAAACAGGAGAACATAGAAGCTTCAAATGATCTTTCAAAACACTCATTATCTCTTGGTTGCATCACTATTACCATGGGGAGCAAGGTCTGGAAACAGTCAAAATGAGAGAGAGAGAGAGAGAGAGAGAGAGAGAGAGAGAGAGAGAGAGAGAGAGAGAGAGAGAGAGAGAGAGAGAGAGAGAGAGAGAGAGAGAGAGAGAGAGAGAGAGAGAGAGAGAGAGGATGAAGAGCAGCTATTTAGGTCGGAAAGCACTGCAGGCTTTCAAAAACGAGTTCAGAACTTAGTCATTAAAATACAACAGATTTAGGCTAGTTTTGTTGTGGTTGTTGTTGTTTTTGATTCTAGACTGCTAGCTGGGTTATCACTGTGTTTGATAGAGAGGAGTTGAGAGAAGCAGGACAGAAAAAGGCCACAGGCTTGGGTCAGATCTTTATTCCTTAGCTGTCTGTCGCAGGCAGACACATGTCCAGTTCCTAAGTAACACCAACCCTCCTCTTGATAAGAGATTCTTAAGAATTCTTACGACATTGCTTACAAAAGCAGTGTTATAATGTATATAATGTTAACAGAAAAGGGTCAAGTGTATTGATTCATATCTGTGGACTCTGAAAAGACTGATTACTCTTAAAAAAAAAAAGTAGGAATCACGCTGAGAGGGCATTATTCAAGAAAAATAAGATGTCCTTATAATGGATGAACTGATTGTGAGAATCAGGGCTGATGCTAGTTCTGATGTCAAAAACAGCAACCCAACAGAAAGTTAATATCTGTATCAGTTTATTGTATTGACTGAAATTGCCTCTTATTTTTGTTGTAATTTATGTCCTGATCAAGGAAAAAGAAACAAATCCATCTTTAAACATGATTTAACATTATAAAAGTCAGACAGAGCACAAATCCAATGGTCCAAACTTCCAAAACAACCTTTAATTCCACCTTCCTCTGCATTTTTTTTAAATCAATGCTTAAAAAGCCTCTTGAACTGCTGTACAATCACACAGATACTCTGCCCACAAAACACTCCCTCTCCAAAAACATGTTATGTTACAATAAGGTAAATTAAATTCACAAATTGTTAGAGAAGCAGAAAAATAGAAAGACAAAAATCTAAAACTGAAGCAAAAATAACAGAGTATAAAAGCGCTAAATCATTTACAAACAAGAATAGAACAATCACTCGGCTCTTGAGTGGTTTTTTTTTAGCACTGAAGATGTGTTTTTGGTTTAGACATTGGACTCAAACATGGAGCTTACTACCTTACTATAACTTAAATACTGCAACACAACAGAAATATTCCTGCTACTGCAGCTGGTGATATCAACTTTTTTTTTCTGCCAGGCTGATGTATGCCAACAGGGTGAGCAATGGCTGACACCAGTATAAAGTAACACACCTAGTCCCAATGCAAATCAAATGCTAGATCTAAGATGAGTTTAGTTAGGAATGAATGTTGTGCTTTTCATGACAAAATGTAATTATAAAAAAAGTGGATTTAATGTTTTTTTGTCACCTCATCAGTATCTTGTTCAGTATCTTACTGTACGTAAAAAAAAACAAAAAATAAAAAAACAGTGACAGCTGTGGAAAATAGCATTTCATGAAAGAGCTGCGGAGCTCAAAATTAAGTTGAGACTGACCCAAACTGTTGTCCGACACGTGTTACACATCCGATTAAAAGGTTGAGGACACACATGCATATTATCAAGACAATAATAAAATGGTGGTATCATCAAAAATTAACTTGTCCCTCGCTTACTTATACTCAGTGGAGACCTCAGAAATTGCTTTCACACAGGCAGACATGAAGCAGAGCCAATGAGCGTTTGCATTTTCACTTTTCATTGCCACTCAGGTATTTGCAGCAACTTTACGCAGTGAAGACTATTCCCAAATGTTTCATCCTTAGACATTGTTGAGGCTGTTTTACTGATAAAGATCTATTGCGTAACTGAGAAACGGCTCTGCAAACTGTCCTAATTACTTGTGCATATCATTTAAGAACTATTCTTTGCAGTATTGGCAGGTCACAGCAGTTATTCTGCTGAGTAAAATGTTGACATAATCAAAAGAGATTAAAAATACAATCAGAGTTCCTTCTGGATTTGTTTTAGAACGATAATCTGGGGTTTACTCTTTCAAACTTTGTTAGTTTGAGTACTGAATGATATTACTCCGACTTTTTTGACTCATAATGGTTTCTATGTAGATAAGCGTGTGACTCTTAGAGTTTCACATTCAACCAAACAAGTGAATTCTCATTTCAGACAGCATGGCGGCAAAACATTAAGTTCATAACTCCTTATTTCATACATGTGTTAGTTTTCAGCAGCAAAGCCCTGTTAAACACAGGGTCCCAATATGACACCTGCTGGACAAAAGCATCATTGCAGAATTTAATGAGCCATGTTAAGAGTAAAGAGCATACATCATCACAGCTAAAATTCATCTGACTTAGTTTGTGATAAATTCAATAAAACTGTTTTAAGATCATTGATGATTTGTTTTCACTTTCATGTTTTAGGCTGTTAGGACCACTGTCCTCCTCAGAGATTTATTGATATATTTTACTGGTTTAAATCTGACTCTCTTTGTCTCTTCAGTTCTTTCAATTGTTGACCAAATACTTGAAAAAGCCTCGTCATACATCAATGGTAGGATCAACTTTTTTACTGTGGTCGAACACGCTATGTGTTCAAACTTACCTGAGCACATAGGAGGGACGCAGTAGACAGGGATAGCCCACCTGGTTGGCAAAAGAAAAGGCATCTTCCTGTGAAGGAAGAGAGGTGCAGATGTTTTAAGCTTTATAATTCAAAACAAGAATAAAACAAGAAATCAACTATGGGTTGAACTGTTAATAAAATTTGAGTCTGTCTTTAGCATTAGGGATAACAAAATGATCCTACAGATGTCTATTGAAATATGTAGGTATCAAGAAAGTGAACATTAAAAAGTGTAAAATAAATACCATGAATGAAGCACTACAACATAGGTCATGGTTATTTAAAAAAGTGAAAGCAACAATATAGATGGACGATCAGGGCTGGTCTACAGTGTAATTAGGCTGAGCTACAAAAAGAGTGGAAACATTGAAAAGACTGGGCAGTTTGAAGATTACTGACCACAACATTATAAAACTGTAACACCTACACCTGTGTCCCCGCCGACATTTAACTCACTTTTAACTGTTTTAAGAAGTTGTGGGATAGAGAGAAAACAAACTCAATTACTCCTAGATAAAGTATTTTTCAGCAAACAAAGAAGAAATCTCACTCTCACGAGTACAAAAGCCAGAGAAAAGAGTCTATAACACGAAGCCATTCCTGAAGAAACACAAAAGAAAAGAATAAACTGCTTTTACAGCGGGGAGAACATTTGTTTTGTTTTTTAATAATTGTGCACCTCAGTGAATTTATCACAGAGGAATTTATAGAATATATGAAGCTGTATGATAACAGCCAATTGAGACAGAAACAAAGAATCCATATCTAATCTAAGCTGTATGTTTGAAAAGTTACTCCTATCTGATGTAAAAACTCATTTCTATACAGTAGCCCCATCTCTCCCATTCTCGATCTAACTGAACTAATCAAAAGAGAGAAAAACAGAGTTGAAGTGCCCCAACAATCATAAAAGAGCAGCTCCAATCCTTCCCCTTTGGTTTTCTTCTCTTTCATTGAGTTCACATGAGGAGGGAGAGAAAGAGGGTCTGAGTCACAGCCAGAGTTTAGCAACAAGAGCAAGGCTGCACGTCCTTCCTCTCTTCCTCCTCCTCCTCTGTCTTCTGCTACTTATCATCATCATCATCACTGTTTTTATCTACTATATATCATAACCCAGTGTTCACTCTCCAGGTAAAGTATCATTAACAAACATAAAATAGCTTCAGAGGGATGCAAAAAAGCTTGTCCTTATGTCTCTGCTGGAGGTAATCCAGTCCAATAAAATCAAACGGTTTCTTTTTAAGGTCTGCAGGGAAATAGAGCTTTATCTATGTGTAACAGTTCATCTCTCCTCATCGATTACTGAATAAATGAGAAACTTTGATGTAAAAGACATTTTTCTGCACTAACTTCAGACACATTTTTATGCTCCACATAATCCACAGAGGGGCCTGGGAGTGTTTTATTTTGCCATAGCTGCAAGCAAGTTTAGAGAGGAATACAAAAAAGCACTGAACACATCAGCAGGTACAGAGGTAAAACGCCTCCAAAAGAGCTTTTTTAGATTGTAAAACAGACAGTAAAAGGTGTAATGCTGTAGGGCTGTGGACTTTAGTTATGTGTGTTTAAAGTAAATACAAATAAATAAATACAAAAAATAATGAATCAGAAATGAAGATGAGACGTGTACCCATAAAAACTAAATACAGAGTGCCATCATTAGAGGCCGAGAGTTAAATTATACTGATATTGATTTTATTATTGAGCTTCAAATACAAGCTGACTCGTTATCAATTCCACTATCAATTCTCTTATTACTCAGTGGAAACAGAAATGTTTTCGACAAAACTCTCCCCACTTCTTTAATGATCTTTTATTAGCCTTTGCCTGGCCTTATTTTATTGACCCCATCTTGGACACATTGCATTATGACCTATCTATTCAGCTTCCTAGCTTTTATACTGCTGATTTCTATACAAATTTAAACACAGAAATAAAGTCTAACTAACAAGAAGGAGGAGGGGGACTGTCCTACAGCAGCAGCTGCATCGAGAGCTGACCAAGTTTAGTTTATTCCAAAGACAGGAGAAGTTGCCTTAATGCATCTTATATTGATATCACCCACATGGGGGTTGTGCTTGGCCATGGAGGTTTTGCTCTCTCCTTGCATGTTGCAGTAGCTTCCTCCTTCTCTTAAGCGTTGTTCAAATGTAGCCAAACAGCTGACTTTTTCTAACATTCAGCCATCCTTACATCAACTTTAACACCTGGATTCTTTCATGTAGTTAAATACCTGTCGACCTGCTATTTGTTTCTATCACACTAAACACTCAGTAAAGCAATGATTTTGCACTAGTGATTTGAGATACAACAGTGCATCATTGGACCCACAGAACCCAATAGCAGAGCCGATAAAAGCCCAAATGATCTTGATTTTTAGGTTTCAAAAAATTGAAACTGTGTTTACATCCCTAGTCATCATGAGACCTTCAGGAAACTGTTTGTATTATTATACCAAATATGTAAATAAATGGTGCCAACACTATGTCAGATTTTGTGTATCACTTTAAATGCATATAATGTGCTCAAACATAAAGACGTAAAAAAAAAATGTTTTTCTCCTGAACCATAATATAAATTAAAGAGTTTAAATGATTCATGAATCCCTCTTCTTTCCATATTTGTGTCTCTCACCAGGGAGCTGAGGGCCCTCCATGGGGCCTGTGCCACTCCAAGGTCATCAAGGATACTGGAGAAGACTGAGCGCTCTTCAGCCCTGTCGATCTGCAGGGGGCTGGTCCCAAGAATCTTCACCCCGTTCAAATGCAAGGGGGCAGCTAGGTTGTTAGGGATCTGGCCTCCTACTGACACAATGCTGCCTGTGCAACTCTGATGAAAAAAGAAAGGAAAAGGAAAAGGATGTCAGGAAAAGGGAAACTGAGGGTAGAGCAGAAAGATTAATAAAATACTAAGAAGGAGAGGAAATGCCCGTGGCAGGAGGTCCAGGACGTGACAGATGATCTCCCTTCTCCTGTCCTATGAGCCAAGATGAACAGTCTGAAACCTGTGGCCACTGTCATTTATTCTGGGTTGTGATTACACTATGAAACTACCAGGAAAACAAAAACAAGTTGATCACTGTTGTGCTGCAGGTTTTGTTATCACAGGCAAAAGTGTGTACATATGTGTGTGGTAAACAAATGTGTTGGCTCTTTTTAATAAGAGTGTGCAGCCCCTTTTTTCTGTCTATCTGTTCCAGGGGGGATGCTGTTTCCATGGTAATGCCAGGTTGTATCTCTTCATTATTCATAGGCCTGCTCTCCTGCTCTCCTGTCCAGGGTTTATCTTCATGCTCTAATGCCGTATTTATCACACACACACTCACACACAAACACACGCACACACGGAGAGCAAGAGGGGACTGTAGCTGTGAGAGAGGGATTGATGTTTAATGCTATCTCCCAGAACAAACAAACACTTAATCACACCCTGATCCCATCGCAACTTTAACTGGATTATAATTCCTCTGCAAGGGAAAGTCGGTGGACATTAGTACACAAGTGCACAACACAACAGATCAACACTGAAACTAGCAAACATTTTCACAGGGAAAAAAAAAAATCACTGAAATGGGCATGCTCTTGAGAATATTTTGTGATCTTCAAGGCCAGCTCTACTTACACCCAGAGTGGGCACAAGGTTGAGTCTGTTCTGGTGAATTCACATCCTTGTTCAAGTTTAATACACTAAAAAAGGCCACTCTGTGGTCATCTCAGGGTTTTCAAAGTGTACTCTGAACCTTTAGCCATGAAAGTAAAAGGACTTAAGATGCCATACCTTAAGATCTGGTGTTTTTATATGACCTCTCTTCTATAGAGCCTCGTTATTAAATCATTTGAATGTAACACAGTGATTAAAAATAATGACTTAAAATTAAATTTACCAAAAACCATTAAGCCAGCACCACTAATTTAGCTCAATTGTTAGAGAGAGGTCGTTAAACCTTGAAAATCTCTTTTAAAAAGTCCTGAAATCTTGAACAATAGAAACTCATGCTGTTAAATCTTAGGTGAGCCTCCAGTGGAGCATAATAAATAGTCTAATTAGCACGTATTCAGAGCTTTTCTATTCTCTCAGAGCAATAAAGGGGTTTTGTTTGGTTTTCATTCAGGTCAAGAGTTAAAGCAGAAAAAGCTGCACATTTATCCATCCTCCAATGTAAATAATATATCAACCATTCCACTCTGAGTAGAGAGCATTCCTCTTTTTTTTTTAGCTTTGTAGACATTTGCTATCATGCTATCACGCATATGCTGTCTGCAAACCTAGCATCACAAAATCTGTTTACAAGTAAGCCTCATGTTTAATGTCTTGTTGTCTTTCCTGGTTTTGAATCAGAGGATATGATTTATATTTATACTCTTTTTTTTACATATTCAGCCATAAAAATAAACTCTGATATAGGAAACTTTACCATGACTGGATTGTATTATCGTTATATTGATATTGTCAGAATTTTTTAGGCTGCTTATATCGCAGGCAAAACCCTGTGTTAGACCTAACTAAACCTGTCCACACTGTCTTGAGAAAAGTTTAAGTTCAGTGAAAGTCTTTGTATTTTCACTCATTAGAAATTGCATGTGCCTATGTTTGTCCTTACCTCTTGTAGGGAAATGTCCAGGATGCGTTCAAGGGTCAGCTCCTCAAAGTAAAGGCGGTCACACTCGTCAAAGTCAGTGCTGACTGTCTCCGGATTGTGGTTGACCACCACTGTCTTCTTACCCATCTGTCTCAGAGCTCTGATGCTTGACACTGCACACCAGTCAAACTCAACACTGCTCCCTGTTGGATTAAAGAGTTAACAAGTTTGAGGGTGTGAGAGGGAATTTAAATGACCCTCATCTTCTGTATTTATCATTTGGCTTATGATGATTATTGTGTTTGGATTCTTTTTTCTCCATTGGTGCTATCCCTCTTTTAGTTAGATCATTGCATGCAAGCTACTAAAAAGTACCATGACATCAATCAGTCAAGGTAGAATTCATTAAAAAAATAGAAACCCCCTAATTTGTTTGATTTTTTTAGCTGGACTTACCAATGTGGTAGGGCCCACAACCAAGAACCATGATTCCCTTGTCATTAAAGTCCAGATCATGCTCCTGAGGGATGAGATAAATCACCAAAAGGACTGTTGATTATGCATTCCTGTGGATAATCATATTTTCAAATGCTGATGGCAAAATCACATACCTGACCATGATAAGTACAATACAGGTAGTTGGTCATTGCCGGATACTCAGCTGCTAAAGTGTCAATCTAAGAGAAGCCGTCAGAAAAATTACAGGTTAGAGGAGCATAAGCTGGGAAGAAGTTTTCACTTGTGGTAATCAATCTGGTAGGAAACAGGGAAGGACAACATATTTCTAAGGTTTCCTTAAGGAAATCATAAATCTTATTTAACAACAAATTGACATGCGCAGAACTGTTGATTATCAATGTCCGTCATCTGCTATGAAAGCTGAAGGAGGACGCCCCAGTGATGCTCACCTGTTTCACCCAAGGCCTGATGCCGTGCATGAGCCTGAGCTCTCTGGCTGCTCTCTCACTTGAGCCCAGAATTTGACCAACCTGCCGGTCTGAAAAGCCATCCTGCTTGGCCTTCAGCAGCAGGCTCTCGGGTACAGTGTCACTGTATGAAAAAAAAAAAAAAGTTTTTGAGATATTACTGATATTGACTGATATTACACACACCACTATGGATTCAGTGTCCGGATTTGTCAGAGAAATGTGAAGCCTAACTTTGACAGATTTGAAACAGGGTGATACAGCCAGCATCTGCTGTAAGTGGAAAAGTTCCCCTCTTAAAACTCTTGTCTTCATATGTTGCATCATTTTTTCCAGCAGACTGGAAATGTGAAAAGCCTTCAACTTCCCATGGAGGACTGAACATGTGAGACGCTGGTGTAATCTGAGGTCTGAATGTTGATGTGGCTGGCCATCTAACTTTTGTATCTGCTTATTAAACTCAAAACTTTTTTGAAACTTCAAATAAAACTTTGGTTCTGCTAAGAAGTCTTTGCATGCCTCTTTTGAAGACTCACAACCAACAGTTCCTTTGGTCTGTTTTTGCACCAAGATAAACTTTATCCACAGACGCACTTTGTGTTGCATGAGAAGATCAACATCAGTTTCATCAAAGGAAGCAAGCAGAGTATTTGCGATAATGTCCCGGTGTTCCTTTAAACCCAGGTGGAAATAGAACAAATTCTTGTATCTGGTAAACCACAACTTTCTCCCCCTCCTCCTTATCTGAATTATTTATCATCTTGTAGCGTAACAATATTGGAAATGTCAAGTGTGTTTAAACTCCCGCTGCACATGGCTGTGCTGAGAAATAACAACACCGAGGAACTATATCTGGAGAAGAAGTGGTTCTGGACTCAAATCAGGAGAGGGACAGATATTTGATCTGAGACTTTGGAGTCTGATCTTCAGAAGATCAGCTACAGGTGAGAGGGAATCCACTGCATACTGTTAACGTGTGTGCAGATTCCCTTTTACAACAGTGGTGTTTGTGTTCACATGTGCAGAGACCAAGGATAGGATATTATATCCCAAACATGGCCATGAATAACACTAGCCACGTTCACATGGGCACAAATAATCGGACTAAAGGTCAGATCATAATAATAATGCTTCATGTAAATATGTTGGTCAGAAGATTCTGATCCAACTCAGCTCAATGGGTTAGAAATTGTATTCCGATTGAGAGGGGGTGGTTTATGCCAATCATTATTCAGAAACGTGTCCATGTAAACACTCACTCCGATCGTGACTCTCTAACCTGACTCGATCTTCACTCTTTGGCCTTTGGCTTATTTATTGAGGTCAGTACAGGGAGATTCATTATTAACACTCTGGCATTAAACACTCTGTCTGCTCCTCCGATTACATAACAAGGCGTACATACAGCGTAATGATGTCACATCTGCACGCACAGTGCAACCTTTGACAGAACAGTAGAATAAGGGAGCAAGGGTGCCATCTAGTGACAACATTTAACAGAGGGGAAAACTCCTGAATTGGATGAAGTGAGCCATGACCGTGTTTGTTCGTTTGTTGACAGCACAGGCGTAAATACAACTCTTCTTCTGTGGTTGTTGTCGCGAAATTAGACAACTCTGCACATGTCCAAATGCTTCTAATCTGAATTAAGTTTGGTGCATGTATACGCACATCATGGTCGGATTATGTGATCTTGTGCCCAATCCAGATTTTCCGATTCCTCAAATTTTTAACCGGATCAAGAAATTTTGCTCATGTAAACGTGGCTAGTTTTATCACAGCAGCTCTGCAATGATTGCTAAATGTAATGACAATTACGTAATGAATGTAAACTCCCCTTACAAACTGGGTTACCCTTTGATTGCAATACTTGCACAGGGCTTACATGATTATCTCTGTTTCAGTGTCGGTGATGTAGTAGTGTATTATCATCGAATCATATCTTGAGTCAAACAAATTTAACAAAGACTTGTGTTGATATTTACCTCGTCTCTATGGAATACATGGAGGGGGTTGTAAACATAATCCAACAAGAATCTTGTTTCTGTGTTCAAACATTACAAGAGCTGGATGTTCTCGTGAGAAACTGTGATTGTTTCTGTGTGTTTGACTTGAATTTCAGTCGAAGCAGACTGAAGAGTTACAGTCAGATTGATATTTAGCATTAATGGTGGTGCTCATATAAACTTAAACAAAAACATTAATGAGAAATACAAAAAAGGAGAATAGTCATCTCCACCAATAAATATGTTTCAGTTCTTGCTACGGCGATAGGAGCTACACCTTTTGGGGGTTTTCTCGCACATAAACAGTGAGTCTGCTGACCGGTAGAGCCTGACGCCCACCTGTACTCGGCTTTACGCTCCATCAGTCTGGCAGCAGCCTATTGTTGTGTGCCCATCTGAATGTCCCCTGCTTCAGAGGCAGTGGAGAGACTACAACAGCCCTCCATGTGTCAAAGAGTTGCGGTGGACGCCCACCAGACAGCCTGCCATTAATTATTGAACAGCAGAGTCAGAAGGTTGCAGCGGGTAACCTGTGGCTGGGCCATGAAAATTCACAATGGCTGTCCAGGTAAGAGCCCGAGGGCAGAAAGAAAGAGAGTGATGCAGCCGTGAGGAGGCAAACCACAAGAGAGAGAAAGGAGGACGTGAAGAGACTTGAGCTCATTTGATCTTTTTAAGATTAACACTCTCTTATCAAAGAATTATACATGTTATACATTTCTAATTATAACAGCTGCCAGCTGGGGCTTTACAGAGGATAATAGGAGAGATTATCTTTCCAATTCACAGATGCTGTTATGAGGACGCTGGTGCATTTGAGGACACAAGAGAAAGAGTGAAATCCTGCAGGGTCAGACAAGTACAGGTGAGGAAAACAGTCCTGCATGGATATGAACACACTCATGGCAAAAGACAAGTTAGGGGATATTAAGAGAGAAATCTCATTTCAGGATCTGCAGAGTTGTGTCAACGAGAGTAAGATTATGTGCAAGCATATACAAATACACAACAAAATTTGACAATGAGTCACAGTAAATATTTCACATAAATCAATCACCACTAAGTAGACTTGCAAGCAACTTTTTACTTTTTTTTAATGAGGTATGCTGCTGTGTCTCAGTTTACCTCTTGAAGTTTGCCAGATGCTGCTCCAGATGTGTGATACTTTGGAGTTTGTGGAGGAACCACTTGTCTATGGCTGTCAGCTGGTGGATCTGATCAACACTCCAACCACTGTAAAGGGACTGAAGAGAAGAAACACAACAGACAAGCATTAGATATATCAGTCTGCATATAATGTTGTCTGAAAACATATTGAGTTGTTGCACATATTTATGTAAAAGCAATCAGCAAAGTTAAGAATTCACAGCATGCAGGCCTTGACTGCATTTAACCTGCATATCACGTTTCTGTATGTCTCTAAAGTAGTCTTTTTTTGCATCAAAACGTGTTTGAAGTAAGGGATCAATGTTGTAAAAGAAAGGAGTACCTTGGCGATAGAGAAGATTCGGGTGCTTGAAGGCACAGACAGCTCCTTCTGAAGGTCCTGGGTGTCAGCCCAGGCTTTCTTCAGTGGCAGCCGAGGCATGAAACCATCAACTGAAGGATGACACATTCTCAGGGCCTTCTGGATACTCTCTTCAAAGGTCCGGCCAATTGCCATGACCTACATCAGAAAAGGGAAGTGAATAATAAAGTAATGGAGGTGTGTCAATGTGCTGAATATGCAGCTTAGTAAATGAGTGAATGCATGTTTGTCCGTGGATTTCTTCTCACCTCTCCCACACTCTTCATGGCACTGCCTATTTCATGGGACATGCCCTGAAAACGGTCCAGGTCCCAGCGAGGGATCTTGGTGACTATGTAGTCCAGACTGGGCTCAAAGCAGGCAGTGGTCTTTTCTGATACAGCATTTTTGATTTCAGGCAGGGGGATACCCAAAGCCAGCTTAGCAGCAACAAAAGCCAAGGGATACCTAAGACATGGACCAAGGAGCAAAGAGACCAAAATCACCTGTAAGGTTAAGGTTTGCACAAAATAAGCCTGGATAGGATAATCACACAGTAAAGGTCTTGCATGTATGCATGTCAACCAATATTGGGCTGGCTAATACATTATCAGCAACCCCATTGAATTCAGTCTTTTCCAAAACACATGACTAAGACCTTGATGAAAAACATGAGGCCAAAGCATAATGTAAGAGAGAACTTGTAAGAGGAACTACCACTGTGCAAAGAGACTCAGGCAGCTCTCAGACTAGACTATTCAAATACGCCATCTTTGATAGATGCTGGTCTGCTGTGGTGGGACTACAATTAGACTCTCAAATTAGTTGACTAAAATGGCCTGTATCACCCTGTGAGAATGAAATTGTGAGCAGTCATGACCATATAAGGAGGCAGAGACAGGAGATGGGTCAAACCTACAGAGTAGGCATGTATTGGAACACTAAAAAGGCTGTTTGTTTCCCCGGGGACTCTTATACCAGTGCACCCTGGGAGTGGAGACATAGAGGTACAGGTACGTGTTTGGCTTATTCACTCTAGGGTATAATTCATATTGTACCATTCACTATTTCAATCAGCATAAAAATCTGTTCAGACTTTGCCAACTCATACTATGTTCTCATAGGTGGTGCAGCCAAAGCAACCACCCCGCCACCAAACATACAACAATCGTCTGTGGGAAACACACACATATACCAACACACACCATTAACCAAATCTGAATAAAAGTATTTTTACCAAATACCTCTCAGACTCATCATTTGTTAGCATGTCGTGTTTGTTTTTTGTCTAGACAAACCTACAACGACACCTCGATATATGCAATATGACCACCTGTTATATTAGCTGCCTCAATCCTCATCTACCTGATCTAATGTAATGGAGGCTGGAGAGACCTCTGTTCCAAACTTCATATGTTCATATTGCGTTGCCGCATGCAGATGATGAAAGGCAACAATACCAAAAAACGCATCAAAAGTTCCCCAATACTTTATTATAAACCTTCTAAGTCCAGAAAACAATCTCCAGTCACAAGGCCACAAAAGCTAAGAGACCAGGAATGGGTGGACAACCTAAACATCTTCTATAACAGGTTTGACCAGCTATCCACCCCTCCCCCACTCAACCCATCCTGCTGCAGCCATTCACACCTCCCGATGACTGCATGACCCCTGCTCTAACGACTCTCCCTGTCGTAACCTCCCAACCCCCCTGCACACCCTCTACTCCCCCTCCTGAGTGTCCTACACCCATCAGCACACAGTCAGCCAGCTCCAGCCTGTCCTTCTCCATGTCCCAGGTACAGAGGAAACTGAAGAGGATGAAGGTTAGAAAGGTTCTGGGTCCTGATGGCATCAGCTCAACCATCCTGGCCCCATATCTACCGTCTCTGTAAGGTTCATGACCTTCTACCTTCAATTCCATAATATCAATAAATAGGTTATAAATAGGAACAAGGCCCAGGATGCATATCCAAACAAGATCCTTTCTGGATAACGGCTTTATCATTGACTATCATGAGATCCTTATAAAAGGAAACAGTAAACGCAGCCTGACTGGTTACAACCATAACCAGGAGGTGTGGTCACAGGATGTAATTAAGCAGAGTAGTCATGCTGTAGCACCTCTAATATCAGGCACAATTTAAAGCGAAAGTTTGTGTCCCTTTTTATGAGATGTGTAGATGTGATATTCCTCTCTGTGTAGTCTCTGATAATAGTGTATAAACCGAAAAAAGTTATCCAGATCATAAAGTTAAATTGAGCAGCAGAAAGAGTTCAGTTCGGCTAAAGTTGTGTTTTGCTGAGTAATGTAGCCGTGCAGGGACACCATGATAGCTCTGGCGGATACATTTTGTATTTATTTTCTTCGTTTTTTTGAAGCTGAACTCAGATTTGATCATTTGAAAATAACTCTGAAACGTCTGAGTAAGGGAAAGGGGGAGGGAGCTCATGCAGACAAGTGGGAGTGAGGCTGAGGGAGCACGCCACAGTGCACAGATCTGATCTGATGTAACTCACTCTGAAGTTCACTAACTGTAGCTTCAGCAGACAGTACATTCAGAATGACCTCGTCTTATATTAACATCTCCAGAGAGTATTGATTGTTCACCACTGTCTGTAAATCTGCCCTCACCTTTATAAAAGAAAGATGTCTGTTAGTTATATAAACAACTCTGATGACCTTATAACAGTCTATATGATCATCTGTGCTTACTTCCTTGTGTGATGCTCTTTGTCTGTTGAAGTATGATGATAGTCTCCACATGACTCGCTCAATGCAGACTTGAGTATTCCTTACTGCTTAGAGAAGCCGGATTTTTTATCTCCTTACAACTTCATTCATCACCTGCCGATTTTTGTCGGTTTTTGCTGTGCAAGCCACACATCGACATTTACATCTCTGACCTTATTGATTTACATACTCCATTTTTGGAGTTTATACTTTCATCCTATCATGTCCCCCTAACAAGATAAAGTATTCTAAAATTATTATGAAACTCTGTTAAAATTTATAAGCTATGAATAATATTAAGCATATTAGTATTTAATAAAATCCTTAAGTTGTAAATTTGGGCAGAAGACTATGTTGATCTCTCCCAGCTTAGCCAACTGAGACCTCCTCCAGAACCCCTGGTTGAAAATGCTTTATCCAACCACCAGGGGGAGCAGTGTTAGTGAAAACTGGAGTGGTAATTCAGTTGCACATTGCTGAATCATTTGTATACTGTACATGTGTTCACTCACCCAGTGGCTTTGGATGCCAGAGCAGAGCTTCTGGAGAGCCGAGCGTTAACCTCAATGATGCAGTACTCCAGGGACGAGGGATGTAATGCGTACTGGATGTTGCACTCTCCGATGATGCCCAGGTGACGCACCACTTTAATGGCAGTCTCTCGAAGCATGTGGTACTCCTCATTGGATAATGTCTGACTTGGTGCCACCACTATGGAGTCACCTGAAGAAGGGAAAAAAAAGATTAGGGTCAAGATTGGCTTTAGACAGTGAGGAATATTTTCTGAATTCTCAAAATCAAATCCTGTGGCAATCCTAGTATCGATCTCATAGAACTATATCAACAAATTTTAGGTCACACCTTTACTTTTTTTTCTATTTTAATAAAAACTTTGTTGTCTTTGCTTTAGAAATTTGCCAGAAGCACTCAGACCATCTTTGATTAGAGGTAAATGCTGTCTTAAAGCTTTGGGGCAGAACTAAACCCCAATTCTACAGTTTCGCATTCAAATATTGAATCTCTCATGTCCTCTTTTTAGATGCACACTAGAGAATATGACCAACATGTAAAACCTGCTCTTTTTAAAAAAAGGAAAAGAAAAAACTTGCCCTCTGGTTATACTTCCACAAGAATACTTATTTGCCTGAAGGTCACAGTAGATACAGAAGACAGCAGAGCAGATTAACTGCAGCAGAAAAAAAAGAAACAATCACTTTATGTTGCTGTACCTGTGTGAATGCCCAGAGGGTCGAAGTTCTCCATGTTGCAGACGGTCACACAGTTATCAGCCACGTCTCTCACCACCTCATACTCCACCTCCTTCCAACCAAGCAGAGACTTCTCCACCAGGATCTGGCTGCTCATGGCCAGAGCCTAAAATGTGAATGCAGTATTACCAGTTTAGAAGCTGGTTGTCCACACTGACGAATTCTCATCCTGACTCATCCTCAGCTAAAAGATCTAACCTTATATTTATGACTGTAATGAAGGGGCTGTTTGTTCCTATATTTCAGTCATATAGACAGATGGCTTTGGACATAGACACAATCCACATCTAAATAACTGAAACACAAAACAAATAAATATGACTGGACAACAGACTACATACATGTACTCGTGTTGCCTGTGCTATGCCTCTTTTTTGTTGCCATTATTGCAGCTGTTAAAAAGTATGAGGTGAACTATAAAAGGGATACAGAAAAACATACTACTTATATTATTGGCTTAAAACAGATAAAAGACATTCATATTTTTGGGCATCAAAATAATATGTAAAACCAAAAATATGAGTATATCTGATACAACATAATACAATATGTTTTGTTGTGTTTGATTATTGAATAAAAATGAACAAAACAATCCTTTTGATATGAAAGAGAATAAAGGGTTTAATCATGCTTATGTTACTAAAATGCCAAAGACCCTATAACTCTGTCTAATGAGTCTGTAATCACACTCCTGCACTTCCTACAGCCAGGAAAGCGGCCACTGAGCAGCAGTTGGGAAAGCTTCAGCATTGAACCCTAGCTCTAACTCTTTTAAATAAAAATAAATGTTTTTAAAAGCAAAATGACAGAAAGCAGATGAAGAAGATTCAGCACTGCATCAGAAGTATGCATCGATCTGAACCAGTCTTACCCAGACTGTTCATTTTGCAGCCAGTGATCACAGATTATAACCGATAGAGCAGTCAGACATAATGCTGGATACTGAATGAGCACTAAAGGATGTTGCTTAGCAACAGCAAACTATTCCTTTTGAGCAGAACACCAAAGAAACATATCTAAACAATTTCACAGCTTTTATCTTCCTTAAGGTTAATGCTGTGGACCTGGGTAAAGGTGTAAAAGTTAAAAAAGTTTGTCCGTGCAAGAGTTCAATTCTTGAATTCCTGATATGACCAGCGACATTTATAAAAGAATAAAAAGTGAAACAACTTTAAAAAAAGCCACATTAACGATTCTCTTGGTGTGAACACTGTCGGGACACAACACGGTTTATTCTGACCTTGTGTGCCGTTTCTTCCAACTTTTCCTTGTTGGCACAAAGACCTGAGCCCAGGCCGCCCAGCGCATAAGCTGACCGCAACATCACCGGGTAGCCAATCTTCTCTGCTGCTTTCAAGGCATCAGATACCTGTCAATGACATAAACAGGTTTTTATTCAAGCACCTTTTTAATCTGGCAGGAGCTCAAACAAAGATTAAACTTTGTGTTTTTGCATAGGGTGAGGATCCTTACTGTCTCGACAGCGATACTGGGTGCAATCTTTTCATTGATCTCCATCAGTTTGTCAGCAAAAAGCTGTCGGTCCTCCGTGGCCATAATTGACTCCACTGGGGTTCCCAGGACCTTCACTCCATACTGCTCCAGGACGCCACGCTGAAATAATTCAACTCCTGACCACCAAATGAACACCAATCCACACAGATGAATGTCAGACGTACAGTTTAAATAACAGAAACACATTTACTTTAATTTGACTTCAGTGAGGATTTCTTCAGCCAAATAAAAAATTGATGGAAAAAAGAACAGGCTTTTTCTGCACAGGGACCAGAGCAACAAAGAAAGTGATTCTATACGAAAATGCGTAAATCTCACCGCAATTGAGTGCAGTCTGTCCACCCATGGAGAGCAGGATGCCATCGGGACGCTCAGTTTTGATGACTTCAGTCACAAATTCTGGTGTGACTGGCAGAAAGTAGACTGAATCAGCTTGCTTGGTGCCCACCTCATTGGTCTGAACAGAGGCTATGTTTGGGTTCATGAGCACTGTTTTCAGGTTCTCCTCCTGCAAAATACCAGATCCTCATTTCTACCATGAATGCAGAGCAAAACCCAAGTATGAGGAATAATGAAGGATGTTATCTATGTGACTTTCCAGCTGTGCTCTTACCTTCATGGCTTTGACAGCCTGAGATCCTGAGTAATCAAACTCTCCAGCTTGACCAATAGAGAGACCACCAGAGCCTAGAACAAGCACCTTTGATACCTGCAGCAAACAAAGCGAAAGGTAATGCACTCTCATTGAGAGCATAAAGATCTATTTGCAATGAGGGGCTTTTTTGCATGACAGGCAACACTACCTTCAAAAATGTCCATCCTTTTTTTGTTGTTCACATTAGTCATAGAATTAGTGATCGGATAAAGTGCGTTCCTGGTACTGTTCTCGTAAAGACTCTTGTTTGAAAGGACACACCTACAAGAACTTCATGTTCATAAAGTCTGAGATAAACCAGATGAACCTGTGTGATGTTTAGTGTACATACCTGGGCTCTGGGAGGGATGGAGGGTTTCTTTGGCATGACTGACACTAAATTTGTTTCCTTTCCTTTTTTAATCAGGGATATGAAAGCGTCAAAGAGAAACTGTGAAAACAAAAAAAAATGATAAATTACTTTGCTGTGAATGTGACCAAAACAAAAGAATCTAAACTCCTCTTTTCCAGTATTTCAAAAAAAGATATTGAGCTGCAAACACAACAACATGGTGATTCGTGCAAAGACTAAAAATACCAAAGGGTAGGAGGTCAGGGTGTAGCACAGATTGTTTTTAAGGGTCCTATGTTTCTCAAGGTCACCGCTTTCATTATTTACTAGAATTTGAGGAGCAAAACATTACATCTGTTGGGTCTGGTAGACTTTCACAGTGTTCAAATCTGAGCCTTATCTTTGACAAAGGATGTTGTGTCTGCAAGAAAATCAACAGTACAAGCACACAAAAGCACAGACTGCCTTTCTCATCAATTGACCAGTATGAAGGACTATTCATTTGTACTGTCAAACCATATATCAGCTTGATTGGTGCATTTTGCTTTATCTAAATGAACATTTTACATTTTTAGTAGATCAGGTCAGGGTTAGCATTTATTGATGATGATGATTAAGTAAATGATTTGGATGACAAAATGAAGCGCCTGAACTAACTGTAACTTTCTCCTGAAATACTAGAAATTAATCCATTCAATAAATGCATCTAAAAAATTCTCCAAACAGCCAGAGGCTTAAGAAATTTGTAATGGGCATAGTGAAAATTATTTATCATGCCTTAAAAGCCGAACCAGCACAGAAGGCATGAATTCTCCAGCAGCACTGTCAACTCTGTGTTTCACTAGAGAGGACAGCTCTTATTACTCTGCCTTAATAAGACAGAGGTTACAACATAACTTGAACTACAATCGCTGCCTGCTGTATGGGAAACAAGAGCTGTCACACAGACAAGCAGACAGTGGTCCTCCTGAAATCTCAGAACATCAAGCACAAGGGTTGACTACACCGATAGTGATGTCGTGGGTTACACACCAATATATCAACATTCATGTAAACATGAATTTATCCAACGAACTCGCCTCTGCTTGTTGCTCTGTTAACCTCTGACTTTTAATCCTAGTCTACTGTGATCGTTAGTGGACAATTATACAAGTTCTGTTTAAACTAAAGGCTCCAACTTTTACCAAAGTTGTGCTCTGTTAATACCTTAATTCAACCTTTGCATACCGAGCATTCAGACCCTTTATGCAGCACTTTCAAAGTCTGTAATTACCTCTGTGTCTGTGGGACCCCCTTTAGCCTCTGGATGGAACTGGGCCGTAAAAACAGGTTTAGTGTTGTGCATGATGCCCTGGAAAACACACAGAGGTTACATGAGGAAACTGAAAGGAAAGCATCGGTGCTCTGAATATCAGTTTCTATAAGAAGCAGGTTGATCCATTTTTGTACATCGATATGTGTAAGCTACATTGTGTTGATCAGTCTGTCTGAGGTTTTTTTTTTCAACCTCAAAATAGAGAAAATCATATTAACATATTGTCTGTACACAAAGAGTTTAACAAACCTCATTTGTGCCATCATTAGCATTGACGAAAAGTGGGCTCCATCCCGGAGGCAGGGACTGGCTGTCTATGCCATAGCCGTGGTTCTGTGCCGTAATGAAGGCTTGGTCTGTCATCACATTCAGCACTGGCTGGTTCTGGCCTCTGGGGGACCACAGACATGCATAAAACATGATATTTATGACTTTTTTCTTTAATATTTTAAAATCTCTTTGACCAAATACGGTCGTTTCAGCACGAAGAATACTATGCTCAACAAAACACTACTGGTCTAAAGCAGGACTTACAAGGTTCCCTGGGGAATCCTGAACAAGTTACATGAAAGCAAAAGACTGCATGCACACCGATAAAACTGCCATCAATACTTAAATAATCATGTTGTGGCTTTGCAAATGTTTAATGAGAACAGAAATGCACATGACATGTCTCATCAACCGTGAGGGTACGCACATTGCTACCTGGTTAGAGACACTGTATGATAAAACATTCATATCTTTCAAGACACAACAGATCAATGAGGCTCCTCTCAATCTTCATCATCATCAATGCTTTCCGTGTGTTAAGAGTGTAACTTGAATGTACTCTTCAATTTTAAAGAAGTTACCTGTTGCCCATAGGTAGCTTGTATGACTTAGCACCTGCAGCCAGAGCTGTGATCTGGTTGCCCATACAGATCCCAAACACTGGCTCTGGACGGTCACTGTCAAGCACCTTTACAGGACAAAACAAAGAAAAGGTTATGTGAAGAAAAACGGCAGGTCATGATAAAAACAGATACAATCTCAAACAGGTTACATTCTGTTCCCTTGTTCACCCCTCCTATCAGAGACCTGATGGTGGCCTTCAGGGACAAGGAGCTCCTGAGGAGATCCCCCATTTTTCAAGTTTTACCATCAAAATTGTCTATCAGTACAAATTGGGCCACCCCCTGTTTGAGCCACTGCCAGTAGGCACACAGTACAGGGCCATCAAAGCCAGGACAAAAAGACAGCAAAACAGCTTTTTCCCAAATGCTGTCCGTTCCATCAACGCCTCTATGAAAGCCAGATGATGTGTTGCCTATGTATTTATGGGTGTAGTTTTAATTCTCTCACTAGTTTTAACTCGGCACTGGTTTTACTGTTTTACTGTCTAATGTTTTATTGTTCCTTTTTTTAATGCACTGACTGTAAAGGCACTTTTTAATTTCGTTGTGCTTGTCACAATGACAATAAAATTCTTTCTGTCCATCTATCTATCCATCCATCTATAACTCTGCAAACATCAATCTCTCCTTTTTCTTCTTACATAGCCACTCACAAAATCCAAATACCCATACATTAGTGGTTTGTCTGCTTTGTGCTACTGTAGGCAAATACATGGGGGTGCAAACTAGTGGCCTCCACTGTAGGGTATGTGGTTATGTAGATGTAAAAGCCTTGTTCTATGTTTACAAAAAGAATCATAAAATTTCTTTGTTTAAATCAAAATAATTTACAAATACTTTATTTATAATAAGTCTGCTGCTCTCCTAAATGTCACTAAATACTACACACAGCACCTTCAAGTCAAACATACTGCACAATAAATAAATAAATAAATAATAGGTAAATAAATGAGTAAATTCTGGACTCCTCATGAGCTGAAAATCCTACCTTGCGAACATTCTGGATGAGTGTATTGGCGAGAGAAGGATCTCCTGGTCCATTGGAGATGAACAGGCCATCATAATCTAGACTTAACAAGTCCTGATCCCATGGGACGAGGTGGACCTCTGCACCCCTCTGAACACAGATAAACAGATGAACACAGACATATTCAACTCTTACATATCAAACTGTGCTAAAACTAGAGCAGGTGTCGTACTGGAAGTTCCAACTGTTGCAGAGTTATGTACTCGCTAAAAAGAACAAGTGATTGCCAGAGTTTGAAGATTTAGATTTACTATCACTAACAAATAATAATATTGTACACATAACAGTTTAATGACAGTTGATTTGTATTGTTCATTCTGACAAACAACCATAACCCCTGTGAAAGACCTATTATTTGTATGTACAAAGAGATGAACCATATGCTAAATATTCTTTTTAAAGAAAAGACCAAAGAGTCGAGTATTTCAATAAACCAACAAAGGAAGGAAGGGAAAGATACAACAGTCAAAGTAGGTCGCTGCAGGCTGCTCTTTATGACTTAGAGTTACAACCAATTACAAGCTAATATCAACAAGTAAGCATCAACTGAAGCAAACAGAAAGAGGCCCGCTGTATCCTACAGCAAAAGAACATGAACAAACACTCCAAGTTGATTTTCCCTGTTTTATATTTGACTTCACCTTCACCTATTTTCTAGGTCAAGGTGCGGAAAGTGTGTCATGGTGTCGGCATATTTTCTCTATATGTGCAGAGTCGATCATTTTGGGATGTGTCATGAAAGTATTAAGTTTCAGAATTAAATTTAATAAAAATACAGATTAGACAAAAAAAAAAAAAAACTATTTTTTTTAAATTTCCTCTGCCTCTATCCTCACCTTGACCAGCAAGCGGATGATATTGTGTTTGATGCCACAATCAACAGCCACCACTTTTATTGGGTTTCCTTTTCCGAACACTTTGGTTTCCTGAAGATTAGAAGAGGATAAAATTTGAAGAAAAGACAAAAATTCCATTATACATGTTATAACAGACCTTTCCAAAAACAACTGTTTGGGCGTGTTAGAAGTTATTGCCAGCAGCTGTTACCTTGGTTGAGACCTCTGCTACAAGGTTTTTCTGGTTGGGGTCAGATATCTCAACAGGCTGCCCATCAAATTCAATTTTCCCCAACACTGTTCCCTGAGGAGGAAACAAAACAGTGAGTGATCAGCAGATGCATTTTAAATTATGTGGCAGTTCAGACCTTTGTAGTCACTGTACCTTGTCTCTGATGACCTTGGTCAGCATTCTGGTGTCAATACCAAACAGTGCAGGAACCTTTAAAGGAGTAAAGTTAGACTTGAAAATTCAGCATCTGTGCAGGCAATCTCTGTTTTCTATGGGATCATGTGATACATCAAATCAATTCACTCCATACTTTCTCCTCTTGTAGCCACTGTCCCAAAGACTTGACAGAGTTCCAATGGCTGTATTCATGGCTGTAGTCTTGAACAAGAAGACCAGATACCTAAAACCAAAGAAACACAACACCAGTCATGAAAAAGTTAAGCTAAAAATGGCCCAGTGGTTAAATCATTGAGTGTGAGAATTGTGTCACGCAGCTACAGCTCCTGCCCTGAACATGCATAACTCCTCCTATAACTCTTCTGTTGATGTTTTTCATTAAAATTGTAAGATGGAACTCACAGTGATATTCAAAATAATTATATCTGATAATTTGTTGTTATTCTGGGTTCCCTGATATTCAGAAAATAGTGTCAAATGCCAATAAAAGGTTCAAAAGTGACAAATTATCATCCAGATTTAAATATTGGACATCTATCCAAGCAGCTGAAGCTCTGATTCACAGACTCTGTATTGACATGATCATGTTGGTGTGTGCCAAAAGACAAGTGTAAACGTGTCATAGTATGCGGACATCACAGCTTTAACAACAATAATAATGAGCATGAGAGTCTAGAGGCCTAAGAGTAACCTGCTGGCTCTGTGAAGCTGCACTTGAGGCCAAATGTAAATGTCATAAAGCTAACATGCTCAGGGGTAAAATGTTGACTATGCAAACATTGAGTTTGACGGTTTAAGAGAGTTAGGAAGCTCCTGTTAACATTTGCCTGTAAGGATTCAATCTTCTGCTAAGGGTGAGAGGACTACAGTTAATGTACCGGGTTTATATTTCTTTTGTTTTTTTTAGGCAAAAAACAAAATACTGGACAGCCGAATAGCTGACATGATGACAGCACTTTGTAAATGAAAAGTGATTGCAATAAATGTATTAATGGGAAATCCATGTCTTAACAAAAGTTTACGGGAATCCATCCATATGTATTCCAGCCTAAAAACTAAAACATTAATATTATAGTTACACTGTAAAAGAGAGAACTACAGTGGGTCTTCTGCTTGGGGGCATGTCAGTCCAGCTCAAGGTGAAGCACAGACTATGGTGTGTCTTACTTTTCACTCTTGGTGGTTAGGACAAGCATTAAGTGATAGAAGGTGTCTTGTCAGGATACTGGAGAGAGGAATGTATTTGAGGGTTTTATTGTAAGCCATCATCAAGAGGAGGCACTACTGCCAGATAATATAACATTTTTAACCTATGTGGACCAGAACCTGTTCAGCAAACAACAGCTAAGGGTGTCAGCTTCAGTGTAGACCACTTGGGGAAAGGAGGAGATATGCTGCCTTAAACTAAGACGGTACCATACATCAGCATGTAGACCGGCAGTTTGGAGTGAAAGAATCCCTCTAAATCATTCAAGGCTGTCAGCGTAGTTTTGATAGTTGCCCCAACTAACAGGATCATTTATATAGACCAAGAACTTTGTGGTTTTGAATGATACAGAGCTTGGGTAAGTGTGGTATCAACAAATCCCACCTATTCCCTTTCAAATGCCTTTAGTTCCATCACTTAGGAGCAAATTGGAGTGTCTCACTTAAGGACACTTGAACAAGTTTCTACAGGAGCACCATCAACTGTCATTGTCTGAAAGGGGGTAGAGGTTTGCTCATGTCTCGTTAGCTGCATTGGGAGAGGTTTATGAGGGGCTATCTCATGCATTGACCCAACAGTTATCTAAATAAGATCTCTTTAGGAGTAGGACTCAGGATTATTCGGTGTACTACATGACTGGTAGTCCATCACCTCTTGGAACTGAGATGCGCAGCTACAGTATGTACCAACAGCTTTTGACTGCAGGACTGCATGGTACTGTGGTGATAGGTAACAGATCCAAGGAGAGGAGCTGAGAAATCTCATCTGGCCAGGTGGTCAAAGTTTCAAAGAGGTCAGTGGGTATGTTTACATGGACCCAGTGTTGATCTTTGGCCCACCATCCCTAAATCCCCAGTTGTCTGTCTTTAGGCAATCAAGCAGTATTTGTCTGCAGAAATTTGTGTTTAGAGCTGCAACACTTGGCCTCATTGGGCAGGTTGCTGGTTGACCCTAGGTTGATCATTGACCGACTGGCAAATCTTGGGGCAACCTGAGGCTCTGCATCCTGTGATAAGGATGCAAAAAGCTTCTTTAAAGGAACAAGTCAGCAAACAGTTATGCACATAGAAAAATTTACTACTAAACTTTGGTAGACACCTCCCTTTTGTTGGCTAATTACACAAACTACTCAACTTCTCAACTGGTTTCTGCGAAAAACCAGCTCAGCAGAAGTGGAGAATTAGAGGAAATAACGCTGAGTAAGCACAGTCTGGTCGGAAGCCATTGCTTCAAACATCTCAGACTGGTCTTTGCTGCTAAAGCCCTCAAGGGGGCTAAGGCTCCTGGCTTAGATAAATATATCAAACTGAATGACAAGCAGGATGACAGATGTTAAGGGTGACAAAACTTCCTCAGGTGTAAGGAAACTGGGTAACTGTACTAAGACAGGCCCAAGTGGATACTAGAACACAGTCTTTATCAGAGGTGCTGTGCAATGGAGACCATTATAGGGACAATAAGGTTACAGCTCAACATTAACTCCCTGTAATATTACAACAAAAAGGGTTGTTAATCTGCAAGTATAAATCATTAAAGCATTTAGGGCCTTAGCATAATTAAAATTTCTACCTCTGATAATTGTGGTCATGGGGGCACACAAACTGAGAAAATCAATTAAATTGACAATCTTAACCTTTTACCTTTATTCAAATTACTGACAGTTTTCTGAAAATCCACAAAACCAACGCCAGTCTCCTACCTGGATGCGATCTGACTCAACATGTTTTCTTAGGCCCAGCTCATCCAGCTCCTGGGTGTTGGGTACCCCATAGTTTCCTACAATAGGGTAGGTTAGGGTCAGGATCTGACCTCTGTAACTCGGGTCAGTCAGAGCCTCAGGATACCTAAAGCAGGGAAAGAGCAGGACAATAGCACAAAGTTATTGTCACGTTGTAATAAAGTGTGTTTTCATGCTGTCAATTAGGCTTCTCCTGTTCCTTTTCTTATAGTCAAAATGAAATGGGCACACTGTTTTAAAGCTCGTGGCATATCTGACCTGTTTTTACGGTAGAGCCCTACCACATGTCAAACCTAATTCAGTCTTTTGTGAATATCCCCTTCTTACCCGACCAAGCCAGTATTGAAGACCAGTTCCCCAGCTTTAGAGACGTCTTGTCCAAAAGAAAAGCCTTTCATCCTGGTGCCATCCTCCAAGACCAGGTGGGCCGTCTGGGCCTTGGAGTTAGAAAAAAAAAAAAAAAAAGATTAATCAGATGACCAGAATAATCTCACCAAAGAGTAATGAATTCTGTTTTTATGAAGAGAGTTGTGGAAGACCAAAGACAAAACTTCCAGGGGGCCTGTGGGACTTCATGCTGAAACTACAGGCCAACGTGAATTTGTTCTGCGAATGCTGAGACTGACAAATCTGTTATTCTGCTGTGTGTAAGTATGTGTGTGTGCATGAGAGAGAGAGTAGGGGAAAGTAGGAGAAAGAAAAATAAACTAGTGTTCCAATGAAAGTTAAAAAAAAAAAGGAATGAAAAGTTGTGGCCCACTTTGACTCCATGGACCAGTGACTTTTCACATGCATACATTTAATCTCTTCACAGCATGTAATCTCAGATGTATAACTTAAAAAACCACATAGCCTTGGTGCAGGTGCATGTGGATACACATTGCATTAAGATTCTGCCAGACTTGAAAGCTGAGTTTCGTCCTGTAAATGACAAGCTTTGCGAATGTTACTTGAGCATCTAGCATCTAACCACAATACAATGTGCAGGCTTTCAGTGTAAGTATGATGTCGATGGAGATGTTGCAATCAGGGCGGACCTCAAATATGATGCAATTTTTTCTAACGTTAACACATGATGCTCCAGAAGTAAACTGAGCGGTCAGCCTTAAAGTATATCCAACTAAGAAACAGGACTCTTATATATGTTATATTTTTAAAGGGTTGAAAGACATGCAATTTCACTCGTCCGTCAGTCCTGAATGTCATTGAAATACGTGGCAGCTAATTGCAACTCATCATTACAGTTCAAAAAAACACAATGAAAAAGATACAAACCACGTTTCAGTGAATTATATGAAACCATGTAACAATTCGGCAAGGACAGACTGCCAAAACGGGCTTATTTTAATGCAAATCTAACTTTTGTCAGTTACGTAGCTGTATCCACCTGCCTCCCACCACCCCATGTTCCTGACCGGAGAGCGCCTCGACAGTGACTGGCGAACTAAAGCAAAACTTAAAATATGTTAACAATAAAGCCGTCTGTTATGTTAAACCATTGCCGAAGACAGGATTAGGTCCTGCTACTCGCGAAAAAGGACATTGTCAATCTAATTTATATTTTTTACAATTTTGTATAGGAAGTAATCTCAGACTTCGTGTTTTTTTTCAACAGGACTCGGCATGTAGTCGAGAGGCATGCTGCGACGTCAGTACTCATGGTAGCACTTTCACTGAAGTCTTGAGAGAGTTGATGCACCGATTTTCGCATGACAACAAGTGTCACACGTCGTTTTCTTACCTTTACACTAAAAAGTTTTGTAGTTTGGTTTCTGAGCCAGGCCGACGTGTTCCCAACTTTTCTGCCAACCACACACCCATGTCTCAGAGATTTAACAACGCTGCAAGCTAGCAGGATTTTTGTCATATTAGCCTATTTTATGTAAAGAAACACAGACGTGGCTGCAAAGACACTCGGTATAAAAACAAAAAAAATACCCTTTGAACTGCTAACAATACAACTACAAGAGGAAGGAAAGACAGTTGAATGAATGAGTTTTGGGGTTGTCCCTCGTGTCCCTACAGACGCTTCAACTGGCCGCTTTAAAAGATAAACGGGATTGGTCGACTAGCCGTTGTTTTTCTCAACGCATCGGGCGCCCAAAGTTGAGATTGGCCTGTGAGAAAACGCCTACTTTTTTGTAAAGTTAAAGGTATGAACCGGGAATTTGGCTCTGTTTAATTTCCGGAATACTCTTGTATGAAAGATTCCAGCGACATGTTGACTCACCTAACAAAATACTCGTGTCACCTTAACTTATAATACTATGTTTTTATTATCATCACAACTAATACTGTCGATATTCTTTTTTAATTGTTTTTATTATTTATTTATTTTTGCTTTGAATAGTGTGTTTGAAAATGATTTTATGGGCTTGGACCTTCAGACAGTCCTTTCGAGGAAAAGAGTTTCCATGTAATTTAAAGTGCTGTCTTTCTGTGTTTCTGTATCAATTCCATGGAATAAGAAACTGCTGCATCAACAAATCTTAAAAATTCCACCACGTGGTAAAAAGTGATTGCACAAACAGCCAAAAATTGACTAGAAAGGAACTAAAGGCAAAATGCATGCTGAGTACGAATGGATCCGCCTATGCCCAGCAAATAGGTGTATAATACATTCAGAGCAACATACTCTTCATAGCATTTCCTTTGAGGCCAGTTGCTTGCAATAAAAAGCAAACTGACCACGGCCAGGCAGCATGGTGGGGTGGGGATTATAGTGGTCCATGTATTTGCTGATCACTGCAAGACTGGTCCTCTGTGGAGAAGGCTGCCTGACTGCCACTCTGCTGGGTTCAGCAGTCTGAACAAAGTGGGTGTGAGTAATAGGACCTGTGTGCATCAGGAAATACCACTGTACTCCAGAAATTGAACAGAGAACAATAGACTGTGCTGTCCATATCACTTTGTGAATGCTGTGAAACAGTGTGCAAATTTTCTGTGAAAATCTGAGATGCAGTTGTAGCACATTTTACTCCTCCTTCAATCACTAAATTACATACATTTATTTTTATTTTTCATATTTGAGCATTTATGCACATCTGCCCAAACTTAACCCCCCCAAATGCATTCATTTAAATACAGTTTTTGTTCCGTTTTCCATATTTAGGCTTGAGGCTGGGCTTATGCGCCAGACCTATGGAACAACAGTGACATCGAGTGGTAAAGATTGGTAGAACAGTGGCAATTTTTCAGATGGTGTTGTAGTGGCGCCTTCCATGTGTAGGTGACAGTGCTGCTCTATATAGATGAGTTATAGTAGCATGTGAGAGGCTCCTGGTATCATTTAGCAACCGAGGTGCAGAAGAAGCTATAACAGATTCACAGTTCACATGACACCTGCACTAAAAACTTTATGTAGGCCACACATATATTTACTCCTGTTATGTAGGAAGTGTTGCATTAGAGTAGGCCTACAGGGTCTGTTTCTATTTACAACACATGATATTTACTCTCTTGGTTCCTTTACTGAGATGGAACAGTAAAAGAGCTGGCAAGCCTGTGTTGTTCCTTTAAATCAGCCATTTATAAGAGATGTCTTACTTTTGCTATACAGAAAAAGACAATGACGAGAGTTTTTAGCAAAATCAAAAGCTGAGGTTGTGCGGCAGATGTATTAATACCATCTTCACAACACAAATCCCTGGACAAAAAAGGGGGTTCCCTGTTTGCATCCTTATTACGAGGATACTTATCATTTTGATTTTACGATTTATCGCTTAATACATTTCAGTTCACGTAACTGCTTATTCTCTTGTAATTGCAACTTTAAGTTTATCTCTATATATTTATGGCTTTAAAAAAATTTATATCATTTTTTTTTTTCTCAAACTTTTTTATGTGAAGCTTTCTTAATGGGGGAAAGAATATGACTCAGTGCAGATGAAAGTCAACACAAGTTTTCACGCAATATTGTCACTCTATCTCCACAGGTGCGCCAACTGGCACTTCACAATAATAAACTCTGCACACGAGTTTATTTTCACAGTCAATCAAATAAAACTTTTATAGGGTTTCATTTTAAGATATTTGGACACTTCTTACTCCTCTGCTGGTTGTTTTCTTTTGTGGCTAGTCCTGCTCTCTTAGTGCAGTGCAGGCTGCTTACTGTCAATAAGACAGAATCTCATACAATGGAAAATTGCTAGGTGATGATTGGGAGAACATGAGATGCCTGTGCAATGTACTGTATGGCCTTGTGCTACAGGGAGAGCTGTGATTAGCCCCCGTCTAAATTCCTTCATTGATTGGCTGGGGTGCGGCTGTGTGGTCCAGTGTCTGTCCTCAATGGAGGGTCCCCACATTGTCTGCGGTTTTAAGTGTGAGTTTCAGATTGAGACTGAGCTCATGAGAAGACATGAATAGACTGGCGGGCTCCCTTGTTTTTTGTTTTTTTTTCTCTGCATGGTTTCCAGGCACAGTCTTGGCCCTGAAGTAACAGAAATAATGGATTGTTGTTTCAGGGGTTTATGATGATGTTTGTTCAGTTCAGGACTAAACCAGCTTGATGAGTTTATGTCTGAAGTATATTTCAAGACCAAGGCAAATCAAAGTGCTTTTATTTCACTTCAAATACGGACACAAATACGGACAATACAGACTGGAGAGCAGGATTTGTGGTGCAGTCTTGGTGAGATTGAAGATTACACTTAGTCGCCCCTTATTCATCAAAGGTGCAACTATGAGCTAAAGTTTTGAGCCTCGATAAAAAATGTATGTTGTTTGTTTAACATTTAGTTCTAAAAAGTAGTATAATTACACCACTAAAACTCAGTACATTTAAAAAACTACTGGTGAGCAGGAGCTATTTTTTTATCCACCTTTGCAGCATTTTAAACCCAGATTTTTGTCCATAATTCTTGATTTTAAACATGTTTTTGTTTTTTTTTCTTAAGAAAAAGAAATGTCAGGAACACATCCTTGTGGAAGTTTTTTCTGTCTGTTGTTTTCCATTCTAATACCTGGTAGTGTTAAATTGTTTCTGATTGATCAATAGCAATGGTATATTATTTCTCAACAGCACAGTGTTGCCGGGGGACAACCTGATCTCACGTTAAATTAAATCAAATCAGTCATGGGGAAGGAGTTAAATTCATTTCAGCTCTGCCTGTTGACATTGTGACAAAAATTTTACTTTTTCCAAATTCATTTTGAAACATAAACATGAGGGATGTTTTTCATAGTATGTTTAACCTATACAAGAGTTAAGATTTGTGGTTAATGGCTGATCAGTCAACAGCAAAGAAAAGAAAAATGGAGGCAGTAAAAAGGACAGACACAAGGATGTTGACCAAATTGAAGAAGACAGACACAAAGAAATCACAATTTGACTATTTGTTGGCTTTTCTAGCTTTACCATGTATGACAATGTAACATTTAATATGTTATCAGATTTACCTCCAGGATAAGAACAGACTCTCCATTATCTGAAAGGTCAATAATTATCACATATTGGTGTCTTCAAGCCTCCATGGCTACAGTGGATTAATAAAAGTAACTTGTATCGTCGTCTGTAGTGTTGTACTGTGCATCCTTTCCTGGTTCTCTTTTACAGTATGAGCTGTCTAGTTAGAAGAAGACATGCACCCAGTGTCACCCTCCTTGTTTTAGGTGATGGCGTCATGACATTAAGACAGCATGATTGTCATGTCTGTGACTGCCTACAGAGTGTTAAAAGGAAGACCAAGTCATCAGCTGCGTGTAAAGGAGGAGACGGACTGTCCCCTTGGACTGGGATCAGCTTCCCTTCCTCTGTAGTGATGTAGTGTCCCCAATAAAAAAGGGCAGCGAGTGGCTTTGTTTAGCCTGCCCCCATCTTAATCCTGTGTGGCCAGCGGAGGGCTTTAGAGAGAGAGTGAGAGAGGTAGAGAGAGCATGCAGGCCACAGAGGCTGCATCAACCCCCTTAAGGAGCCATGGCCCCCGCTCTTAGAAATCCCAAGAAACTTCACACCTCTCTGTAGAGACTATAAATAGGTTCCATCTGTGCCCCCCAGCTCAGTTACAGCCTCATTCCTTTTGGTTTGGTTGGAGGGCGGGGAAGGAAGCGCTCAGGGTTTGAAAAAAAAGAGGGGGGTGGGGGGCAGGGGTATACGGATCCAGGATCTAGAATGTACTCCCTAGTCATCACAGATGGCCGACTGGGTGACCTCTGTAGCATGTTTAGTTGCAAAAGGAAGTCCACTGATTGGTCTCTGTCATTTCCTTCCCCTCAGCGACTCTTTCCCTGCAGAGAGAAAGAGTCAGAGGCCTCGGAGGATCCACCATCCTTGGAATCCCAAACCACCCTGCACTCATCACATGTTTTTACTGAAGCTCAAGTTCTCCTCATTTCATTAATCATGCTTGGTGCTGGGGGACTCCAGGGTTAGGACAGGCACAGCATCTTAAATCCAGGCCCCTGTCATTTCTCTTTCACACTGTCTTAACTGCACAGCCTGAAGGTTTGTGGCTGATGTTTCAGTCCTGGTAGTGTAACATGAATGGCATTTTTCCTGAGTTCACATGGGGATACAAACTACAAATACTGTGAAATGAATTTGAGAGTTAACTATGAAGCAGGGATATCGCAGCGAGAGTCATATCGCATGTCCTGAAGAAAACCTAGAGGTGGTATAATAAAACGCCCTGCTTCAACCCTGAGGACAAATCTGAAGGTTGATGGATTCAAGTGGAGTAGTTTGCTGAGAAAAATCTTCTCCTCACACCTTTCAGTTCTTTAATCTAAAGTGACATGATCCCAGGAAGCCCTTTTGTTAGAGCTGATAAATCACACCAGTTTACCACACTCTCTACTTTATTCTGTCGGCATATTTTTCTTCTCTGTGTGTGAGATTTTGTAGCCTGCAGCATCCCTCTCTCGTAGCTGTGT